GGGATCTCAGAGGCGTCAGGAAACTGGCGGCGCCAAGCGTCAGTCAGGCGGCCGAAGCAGCGCTGGGTGGAGTGTGGACCACCACACGGCTCACCCGCACGGTCGCCAGTGCGCAGGACGTAGGTGCACGGACCAGTACCCCCACCCCTCTGACGTGCAGCGTACCACTCACGGAGCTGCTGCGGGGAGAGGGTCTCCTGACCACGATGCTGCTGCTGCTGCTGGCGCTGACCACCACCGGAGCCACTCCTCAGCGACGAGCCACGACCTCCGCCGCCGCCTCCTCCGCCGCCGCTGCCACCACATCCGCTGCCACCGCCACTCCCACCGTCGCCGCCGCCACCGCCCCCTCCGCCTCCACTCCCACCACCACCGCCGCTGCCGCCCCCGCCTACACTGCCGCTGCTGACACCTCCACTCCCGCCACCACTCCCGCTACCACCCTCACCTCCTCCGCTGCCTCCACCGCCGCCTCCACCGCCCCCGCCGCCTCCACCACCGCCCCTGCCCCCTTTGCCCCTGCCAGGGCGACGTCTCCCACTGGGGGCAGACGCCGCACCGACCGACTCAAAACCAACTAGGTCGGCCGTAGCAGCAGAGGCGACAGAGGGCAGGAGGGGGGAGGGGGAACACCCCTCAAAGATGGGGGTGCGCGGGTCACCACGAGAGGCCCCTACAGCGAGAATGCTCTTCTCGGCTGCTAGGAGGGACTTCTCGAGGAGGTCAACAGTGAGAGTGGTGGGGCAGACTGAGAGGAAGTCGTCCCTGACTCCGCGAAGGGAGTCAGGGAGGCGGGTGACAATGTAGTAGAGAGTGAAGTACATGGGGGGGGGTTCTTGGCGCAGAACTCAGCAGGAAGCGCAGCGCGGAAGCGAGCCTCACTAGTGCGCAGGTGGGTAATGAGGTCGGCGACTGTGGCAAAAGAAGCAAGGTCGGGAAAGAGGTACGGTAGCATGAGGCGGCTCAGTGCAGTAGTGGCAGGGGAGGAGTAGCGTGCAATAACGGCGTCGTACAAGGTCTGAGCACTCTTGTACGACCCAAAGTGTGCACGCTCAGAGGGAGGGAGGTGGCCACGCACAGCAAGACGTGCAGCAGCATCGCGTGTGGCCCACTGTGAGCGAACAGTGGCATCCTCAGTAGCAGCAGGGGCGGGAGAGGCACCAGAAGTGAGATCAAAGAGAGAGAGGCCGTCAGCTCTGTCGCACTGTAGGAAAAGTAGCAGGTCGTCTACCCACACGTCAAAGTCGATGGCTTTGCCCTCAGCGTCAAAGGTGAGGACACTGGGGGTAGCCATGACAGCAGTAGGGTGAGGGCAGTGCAGAGAGTAAAGCTCAGTGCTCACCAGACAGGGCAGTGCAGGCGGCTCGGGCGGCTCAGGCGGCTCGGCGGCTCGGCTGCTGGGCGGCTCGGGCGGCTCGGCGACTCGGGCGGCTCGGGCGGCTCGGCTGCAGGGGCGGCTCGGCTGCAGGGGCGGCTCGGCTGCTGGGGCGGCTCGGCTGCTGGGGCGGCTCGGCTGCTGGGGCGGCTCGGCTGCTGGGGCGGCTCGGCTGCTGGGGCGGCTCAGCTGCTGGGCCGGGAGATGCAGTGGCGGGGCCGTCAGGGGCAGTGGCGGGGCCGGTAGGTGAAGCGGCGGGGCCGTCAGGTACAGCAGCGGGGCCGGCAGGTGTAGCGGCGGGGCCGGTAGGTGCAGTGGCGGGGCCGTCAGAGGGGACGGCGGGGCCGTCAGGTGCAGCGGCGGGGCCGTCTGAAGCAGCGGCGGGGCCGTCAGAGGGGACGGCGGGGCCGTCAGGTGCAGCGGCGGGGCCGTCTGAAGCAGCGGCGGGGCCGGCAGAGGGGACAGCGGGGCCGTCGGGTGCAGCGGCGGGGCCGGCAGAGGGGACGGCGGGGCCGTCGGGTGCAGCGGCGGGGCCGGTAGAGGGGACGGCGGGGCCGTCGCAGGCGATCGCGGGGCCGTCAGAGACGGCGCCGGCGTCGCGAGGGTCAGAGGGGGCGGCGCGCGACTGGAGGGCGGCACGCGCGACGCGGCGCGGCCGTCTAGGGCGGCGCGACGAGGCCGCGTAGGTGGCGCGCCAAAAAATCGAGGGCGGCTCGACGAGATCGGGCCGCCAAAGGAAAAAAAAAGGCCCAGCGCGACTCGGGCTAGGGCAGAGCGCGCTCCGGGCAGGACTGAATAGTAGGTGGGCCCTAGGAACAGTTCCCACTAGGGAACCTGCTCGGATACCATGTTGAGATAGAGGCGAGGAATGATGCACTATGGAATGAAAGAAGTACAAGTACCAACCCTAATTGGGTTGTACCCCCTATGGGCTACCCCACTACAGCCTACATATATGCATCAGCAATATATAATCATCTGACACAAACCAATTCCTATGGCAAGGTAATTGATTGAGATACCTGAATGTGTGAAGAAATGGTTCTAAAAGATACAATCAGACGATGAAACGGTGACATGTTGCGTACTGGCCTATCCTTGCACAGTTTCAGGCCATGAAACGCACAAACAAGCGTCACGTGATGCTTAGTTGTGCGAATGAGTTCAAACTAGGTCCTATGGCTTGGTAATTGATTTAATTACCTGATTGTGTGAAGAAATGGCTCTAAAAAAAACAACCAGACGATGAAACAGTAACATGTTGCGTACTGGCCTATCCTTGCACAGTTTCTAGCCATCGAAAGCACGAACAACCGTCACATGCTGCGTAGTTGTGCGAATGAGTTCAAACAAGTTCCTATGGCTAGGTAATTGATTGAACTACCCGAATGCTTGAAGAAATGGTGCTAAAAAAGACAACCAGACGATGAAACGGTGACATGCTGCGTACTAGCCTATCCTTGTACAGTTTCAAGCCATCGAACGCACGAACAAGCGTCACGTTCTGCGCAGTTGTGCGAATGAGTTCAAACAAGTTCCTATATCTAGGTAATTGATCGAACCACCTGAATGTTTGAAAGGATGGTGCTTTAAAAACAACCAGACGATGAAACGGTGACATGTTGCGTATAGTCATATCCTTGCACATTTCCAGGCCATCGAGCGCACAAACAAGCGTCACGTGCTGCGTAGATGTGGGAATGAACTCAGTGGTAAAGCCGGTTAGACTGACTCGCCAATAAGTAGGGTATTGTAGCTGAAAAAAAGACAAACACTGTAAACACATCCAATATCGTACCACACTAGTAACATAAAAAGCATAGCATATTACAACATTGCATAAAAAACTAAACATGTGTAGAATGTTCGTACTGGAAACTAACTGACCGTTAACCAAGAAATACATGACTTGTTTGCTTAACCACAACCAAAATGTGGTCCATTCGTTCGATAATTCGTAATAATGAAATGTGTTAAACGATGCCGATAAAACAAATGGTAAGCGTTATGACGTAACAAGAAGATCAAAAGCGGCTTTTCAAAATGATGATGTTTTCAAACCTACGAAAAATGTGGTCCATATACAGCCATAAATTAAAGCTCATTTCGAGTGTTCAAGTATACAACAGTATGATTTAGGACTTTCGTAGGTATAAACGAAATATTACAAACGAGGCGCTGACGTGGTCGATAGAGTGGTGGAAATAGGTTCGAGTAGAGGTGCGCGTTGTCTGCCGTAAACCACCGAACATCCCAGCGGAATTCGGTCGACGGACCCGAATTGCCAGTGTCGTCGAGGGGGGTCGTCGAAGCCTGGGCCGACGGGGCGGAGCACTGACGCGCGTGCGGCCCCGCCCCGAACGTGAACAGCGGCCCACGTTACCGGGTGGGGTCGGCGAACTGGCGACACCTCGCGCGTGGGAAAATTACCCTCGCGCGAAGGCAGCCCACGCGCGCCACCTGCCCGCGAGGTCCTAGTAACCCATCGCGGCCTGCCCGGACGGGCAGGCGAGGGCCGGGCGAAATGTCGGGGCCCCCTCGGGACGCTCGACAATTTCGCGACCCGTTGCGGCGACGCCACGTGTTCGCTCGTGGTTTCGCATCGGGCGCATGCGATATTTTGTCGTTGCGAGCGAAAAAAAAAGGCCGCGACGCGGACAACGAGGTTCGTTACCCACTACGAAATCGACACGTGTTGTGCGAATGCACGCTCATCGCGCACGCGATATTGCGTCCCCTCGCCGACCTGGGACATTGGACGCGAGGTCGACGCCCTGCCGAAGCGGAGTCGGACCACCTGTTCCACTTGCGCATGCGCCCTCAGAGCCCTGCCGAGCCAGGCCCCACACCCTTGGGCGACGCTGAACGGGGATGCGGTGGGCCACCGTCTCCTTTTGTTTGTGGATGGTGGCCTCGCTCCCCATTTTCCGCATCTCGTTTCGCTCCTCCTCTTCCTTTTTTCCTCCTTTTGTTGCTCTGTGCGGCTATCGTGATATCGCTTCCCCTTAGTCGGTATGGACCCTAGCCCTGACCCCGATAACTCGGCGCCGACTTCGGCTGACTTCCCTCTTCGTCACCAAATGGGTCCTGGTCTCAGCTTCACTTTAGAGTGGGAAGACTTCTTAGTTCTTCGCAACCACAAGATAGAGTTCAACGACGGATGTTTGGATTTCGGCATCAGGTACGACTCGAGTAGTCGGCGCCGACTTAACTAGGTTCGGTGTCCACGCAGTGGCCTTCTGATTTACGTCGACGGGCGCGGTATTAGGCATAGACCCCCTCCAAGAACGCCGACCACCTTAGGAGTCGTCGACCACACGTAGTCGCCCTCTGTACTTTTCGGCGTTTGCTCAACCGCCCTTGTATGAACCTCCTTGCCCAATCGTGCCGTCAGGTTCGCGTGGTCCCGACTTGGGATCGAGAACCAGCGTTTGTGGGTTCTCGACGTCGGCACGCTTCGATCGGCCATGCGGCTGGCCGACCATTCATGCTTTGCTGCGGTTTTCGACGCCGACATCGCCGCTATCCCGTTAAGAACGATGTGAGCTGTTTCACCTTTGATCAGTTGTCGTTGTTTAGTGTCGCGACATCGCGTGGTGATGTGATCGACGTCGTCGCGAATTGCATGTGCAGCCTCGGTGCGCTTCCAGGAACGCACTGCAGCGTCATTGCCATCCTATACCCTGGAGATCTGTTGAAGGCTGAGGGACAGGTGTGCAGGACCTCAATCCGGCACATCGACCCGCAGACCGGTAAAGGGTATCACCGCGACGAGGCCGCCCGCGTGCTAAAGTAAGTGCTGAATTGTCGTCGATGACCCGCTTGTTAGTCGGCGACCCAGGGTATCACACGCTGACCGCCTCCCCCCACCGCGGTGCTTCAGGTTCTTCCGCACGGCTGTCCTGGCCGAGCTGGGGCGTCCCGGTAGGATGTGGGACTGGGCGCCGCCATCACAAGCAGTGGTGGAGGTCAGGCTGGCCGACTGCGACCACCCTATCCGCGATGTGAGTTGCAAGGGGGGGGTGCCCGTTTCTGAACGCTCCGCTCATCATGTTCCGTGCTTGTATGCAGAAAGTGCCGGGCACAGTGTCGGACGGGCATGTCGGTGCCGGCGTGCTTTCCGCGACGTTGTTCGGGTGGGTAGCAAAACAGATCGACCATCTGACAGGCGAGAAGGGTCGTCGTGGGGTGAGCATCGAGAGCATCGGGATGAAGATGCTGAAGGCTTTGCGCGACAGCATGGTTGAGTACGTCGGCAAGGTCATTGCCGTGAAACGCACCGCGACGCCGACTTCTCAAGCCGCCGGACCCGCCGACAATGCCATAGATGACGACGTCGCGGAAGGACAGAAGGCGCCCCAAGGTGCAGTTGCCGCCCAGCATCATGGGAACGCGAGGGTGCATGGGGAAGGTGGAAACGGTGGAGGAGGCGACGCAGAGGCAGGTGCAGGAAGGTCGGAAACGGAGAAGTCGGAGTCGTCGTCAGAGTCGGAGTCGGAGTCGGAGTCGGAGGAGGAAGACGAGGCGGTGAAGCGTAAGGACGAGGAGGAGTATGAGGAGGAGGAGGAGGAGAATAAGGACGAGAATGGTGAGAAGTGGGAGGGAGGGAAGGATGAGGAGGGGGGGGATGAAGAGGTGGAGTTCGTGGTGGAGTATGTAGAGGGTACGGTTGAGGCGGGAGCGGCGGAAGAGGCGGTGGGGTCGGCAGATCAGGGGAATGAGGAAGAGAAGGATGACGGCGCGGGAAATGCTACGAGGTCGGCAGATGTGGGGAAGGAGAAGGGCGAGGTCGGCGTGGAGGCACCTGGAAATGGCCAGGATGAGGCGGCCTGCGAAGGAGGTGGGAAGGTGTCGGTCGACGCCGGCGAAGGGCCGAACTGTCAACGGGAGTTGTGTGTTGGCCCCGTCCACGCTTGGGCGGAGCCGACTTCGTGGTGGGGTGTACGGAAGGTACAGCCGACTTGCAGCAGTGGGCGACGCCGACTTGGACGAGCTGGTCGACGGGGTTGGTCGACTTGCACGGCGCCACTGCAATATCGCCGACTTGGGAAGCCAGCGGCCGACTTCAACTGGTGGTCGCCGATGTGGCACGTCGACCTGGAAGTCGGCGCCGACTTGCAAGGTCACCGACTTGCAAGGTCACCGACTTGCAAGGTCACCGACTTGCAAGGTCACCGACTTGGGAGGTCACCGACTTGCAAGGTCACCGACTTGCAAGGTCACCGACTTGCAAGGTCACCGACTTGCAAGGTCACCGACTTTGTAAGTCGGCGCCGACTTGCAAGGTCGCCGACTTGGGAAGTCGCCAACTTCAAGAGGTCAGTCTGGAAGTCGGCGCCGACGTAGAAGGGGCGTCGACCTGGTGACGCCGACTTGGGTAGCTGACAACTGCACTGGTCGACCAGGAGTGACGTCGACCTGGATCTGGTCGACCGGAGGAGTGGTCGACCTGGTGAGGTCGACCTGGTGTGGTTGTCGACTTGGGAGGTCGACGAGCACATACAGGAGCAGCTGGTCGACATAGTTGCCCGGTCGACCAGGATACCTGGGTGACGAGTTTCTGCGAAGGAGTGCGACGGTCACCCAGGCGAAGTTGGCGAGACCGACCTCCATGGTGGTATCCCGAGGTCGTCGTGGCGGATCAGAGGCAGTCGCTAGCCCGAGGTTGACGTGGTGTGTGCGCTGTGCAGGTGACGAGACTTTGCATGCCAATCATCTGCGCGCACCTGCAAAGCGGGTGCACTGCTGTTCTGCGTGAGCAATGCTGGCACACCGTCAACCTGCAGCGTTGGCAAGCTGTCGACTTTGCACTGCTGTAGCGTGGTCGACCAAGTCGTGCTGGAACGCGGTCGACCATGCTGTGCTGGCAGTCGACCAACCTGAATGCTAGCTCTGATGTAGTCTTGCATTGCCAACTTCATTGGACCATTATTGACAACTTTCTCTAGTGAAACTCTTGCCAAATTGCCCCGTGAACTAGCAACCAGTGCGAGCACTAGGAAAACGTCTAAGGACCAACGAACGCAGACATCACACGAGCACACGTGCCTAGCCAGTACTCTAAGCTCCCATTGTAGTAGTTATCTTCTCATGGTGCGGTGAGCGTGGATCGAACACGCGACGTAGTTCAGTCTAGCCGACTTAGCACATACCGATCGTGTTCGTAGACCGGCAGCCGTGAAGTCACTAGCGTGCGCGTAGGCGACGCCGAGGTGATGGACACCCTGGAGGGACGGCTGGAGGATGCGAGGAGACGCCATGAGGCCCAGGAGTATGGGGCGATACCCTGGGCAGTCGTCGAGGCCGGACTCCGCTCCGTGTGGGCGGCGGAGCATCCCCCTTCTCGACCTGCCTCTCCTCGACCGGTGAACAACGACGGCGGCGTCGATGTGGGCGTCAACGCCGGTGAAGGTCAGGTCGGCAGCAGTGTGGGAGGCACGTCGAGGCAACGAGGTGTGATACACGCCGGTGAAGCCGGCGGCGTTCAGGCGAGAGGGATGCAGTCGTCGGTGGCTGCAGGCTCCTCACATGGTGACGGTGGTGGGCGTCGAAGTGGGCTGTCGCCGATGACGGCGTCCCAGGTGACGGCAGGTGGGATTGCACCGAGCTACGGCTACTTCAAGTTTACGCCGGACAGGATCTCGGTCACCCCTCCGCTGGTCGGTCGACCCGACATTCTCACCTGGAAGGAAGCCATCGAGCCCCAGCTGGAGATGGCCGGGCTGATCGGCTTCGCCCGAGGGACCGTGGCGACGCCGAGTGAGCACCACCCCGATCTGCGTGCGGAGTTTCGCGCCGTGCAGCTGTTGACCTTCACGGTCATCTCGCGGTGCTGCTCGCCGGGCGTGCAGATCGCCTTGAAGTGGTGCCGGGAGTACCTCGACGCTGGCCACCGGGCGTGGCACTTCATTGAGTCGACGTACCAGGTCACCGACGACCTGTTCATCGCCCAGCTGGAGGGACAGCTGACACACCTGCGTATGGGCGACGAGGAGAGTGCGACCGACTACTGCAACCGAGCCAGGCGAATTCTCGCCACCATCAGGATGGCCGGCGCGCAGTACTCCACGGCGTCGTACATCACCCATGTCATGCAGGGTCTCTCTAGCAGCTACAACCTGCTGAAGCGGCTGTCTATGGCGCCGAGCACAAGGGCGATGCTCAACGAGGACAACCTGACCTCATACATCCTGCAGGACGAGGCGATGCAGGAGGCTGAGCGATCGCAGGAGCTCTTGGCGCAGGCCAACTTCGTCGCCCCTGCGAAACAAGGAGGCCGACCAGGACAGCGCGGACAGTCTGGTGGCGGCGGGAGCGGTAGCTGGAAGTCGACCAAGGAGGTCGAGAAGAAGTCGACCAAGGACGGCGGTCGAGGAGGAGGAGGTCGACGTCGGGAGTGCTGGATCTGCCACAGCCCCGATCACCTCTCCTTCGATTGTCCCGACCGCAGTGACTCCGACGACGACGACAAGGGCGGCCGCGGGAGGTCTGGCAGCCGTCGTCCTCGTCGTGGAGGAAATCATCCGCGCAAGGAGAAACAGTCGACCAAGGCATCGACTTCGGCGAAGGACGCCGACTCCGTTGCAGGCGGCAAGGGGCGAGACGACAAAATGGCGTCGTGCTCGCTGGTCGGCGTCGTGGAGCCGACCATCTCTCTGGCGCCGGAGGCCGGAGAGGACTTCCAGGCGGTGGCGGCGGCTGTGCAGGCGAACCCGGCGGTGGTCCTGCTCGACAGCGGTTGCTCCCACCACCTGATGGGAACGAAGGAAGCCTTCGTTGACCTACAGCCGAGTGGCTCCATCAAGCACGTGCGCGGCTTCAATGGGGCGCTGCAGGACGTTCAGGGCAGCGGCACCGTCGCCCTGCAAGGGGAGGCCGGGAAGCAGGTGCTCATCCCCGACGTGTTGTACGTCCCGGGTGTGCGGGCGAACTTGCTGTTGTCCGGCCAGCTTAAGGAGCACGGCGTGAAGCTGCAAGAGGACGGCGACGGGATGGTGCTCGTCTCGGCAACGGGAGAGGTGCTCGGTCGGGCGACGTACTCCGGGCGTGTCCTCTACACCGACCTGCGTCCCTGCTCAACGAGGTCGACGTCGCCCACGACGGAGGTTGTGGCTCTGCGGGCGATCGTCTCGAAGACGAAGTCGACGCCGGACCGTATGCATGCCCGGCTTGCACATGTCGGCATGGACACCATACGGAGCTCGGCGAAGAACGAGGTCGCCATTGGGCTGGACCCCAAGTCGGCGACGGGCGCCGACTCCCCGTGTGTCTCGTGCGTCGACGGGAAGCTGGCGCGGCACACCTTCCCCGACCAAGGCTCCGACGCCGACGATGTGCTGGCCGTCGTGCACATCGACCTGTGCGGGCCATTCCGCGTGGCTGCCAAGGATGGCAGCCTGTACTTCTTGTTGCTGAAGGATCGCAAGACCCGCTACGTGTGGGTGAAGCCGGTCACAAAGAAGTCAGATGCGTTGCCGGCGTTCGTGCAGTGGCTGGCAGTGGCTGAGCGGCAGACGAAGAGGTCGGTGTTAATGCTGCGCTCTGACCGGGGAGGGGAGTTCCTCGGGAAGCAGTTCACCGACTTCGTGAACGGCAAGGGGATCGTCCACGACCTGACCTGCCCATACACCCCGCAGCAGAACGGCATGGCGGAGCGGGAGATGAGGACGGTGGTGGAGTCGGTGCGGACAATGCTGCTGCACATGGGCGTGCAGCACCACTGGTGGCACCTCGCTCTGCGGCAGGCCGTCTGGGTCCGCAACTGCCTTGAGAGGTCGGCGCTGCCGCCGGGGACGACGCCGTACCAACTGCTGACCGGGAAGAAGCCCGACTTGTCGCTGGCACGGGTGTGGGGCTGCATGGCGCAGTTCTTAGTCACCGAGCAGCAGCGTGGTGGGAAGCTGCAGCCGAAGGCCAGGTGGGGCCTGCACCTTGGCGTGTCGGCGGCGAGCAAGGGCTGGGAGCTCCTCGACGTCGACGCCGACCGGGTGGTCACCACGTCGGATGTGGTGTTCTACGAGGAGCTGTCGCTGGCCGAGTGGAAGACGGAGTACGGGTCGGTGTCCGGCCGCTCGTCGCCCACCCCGCCCTCTGACACCTCGTCGGCGACGCTGCCACTGCTTGCCGAGGTCGGTGAGCTTGCTATTACGGACGTCGAGGACGTCCGCCCCCCTACCCCTCCCCCTCCGACCCCTGCCCCTCCCCTCGTGGCCGACCTGCGTGGGCTGACCTCGGTGTCGGCCTCCGGCGATGAGGGGAGTAGTGGGACGTCGCCTTCGGCCAAGTGCATCGCCGGTGGCCGACGTGACGAGCGGCAGGTCGACGTGGGATTGCAGTCGACGTGGACAGGGGAGGAGCAGGTTGAGAAGCAGGTATAGGACCAGCGGCCGACAAAAGAGCAGGCAGCAGTGACGCCGACCAAGGAGCATTCGGCGACCGGGCAGTCGGCAGGGGAGCCGACCATAGGAGAGAAGTCGGCTGGGACGCCGGCTGAGGAGCAGCAGGACGCCGAGGGCAGCGACAACAGCAACGATGGAGGGGACGCTGAGGAGGTCCGGCCAGGACCACGGCGCTCAGGCCGACTTCGGAGACCGCCTGACTTCTTCGTCCCCGCTGCCTTCACCACGGTGTACGACGTGGACGATGAGGCCGACGACCTGCTGTACGACGATGCCGAGGAGGATGAGGAGTTTCCAGAGCTCGACCCCGACATGCTAGCCGACCCCGAGCACCGTTGGGACATCTCGACGATGACGGTGAAGGAGGCGTTGGCGAGCTGGAAGGGCCCGGCGGTGAAGGCCGCCATGGAGGAGGAGATTCGCAGCCTCCTCAACATGGGAACGTGGGAGTTGGTCGAACGTCCGCCGGGAGTGAACGTCATGAAGAACCGGTGGGTGTTGACGACGAAGTACCACGTCGACGACACCGTCGAGCGCGAGAAGGCGAGGCTGGTTGTGAAGGGCTTCACGCAGGTGTATGGCGCCGACTACGACGAGACGTTCGCGCCGGTGGGCAGCTACGTCACGCTGAGGATCTTCCTCAGCATCGTCGCCGTCCGCAACCTCAACCTGATGCAGCTTGACATGAAGAACGCCTTCTTGCAGAGCAAGCTCGACAGGGTGCTCTACATGTCCCAGCCAGACTACTTCAACGACGGGACCGGCCGGGTGTGCAAGCTGCTGAAGAGCCTGTACGGGCTAAAGCAGTCGCCGCTGCTATGGTACTTGGCGCTCAATGACGTGCTGGTCGGCGCCGGGTGGAAGAAGAGCCAGGTCGACGAGGCTCTCTACTTCAAGGACGGAAAGGACGGAGTGGCCTGCTGGGTGCTGGTCTACGTCGACGACCTACTTGCCGCCAGCAGTAGCGCCGCGATGTTGAAGGAGCTGAAGGAACTTCTGGAAGCCGCCTTCGAGCTGCGTGAGATCTCGCCGGTGCAGAAGTACCTCGGGCTGGAGATCGTCCGCGACAGGTCGGCGGGGAAGCTGTGGCTGCACCAGCAGGGCTATGCCGACAAGCTTCGTAGGCGCTTCATCGACGAGGAGCAGACCGGGCGCACCCCGAAGACGCCGGTCTCGGTCGATGCCTACGCCGAGCTCACGTTCGATGACGAGGAGGCACAGGAGCGGCAGGAAGAGGAGTACCGGCAGAAGGTCGGCTCGCTGCAGTTCGCGGCAACGACGACGAGGCCGGACATCGCCTTCGCCTGCAGCAAGCTGGGGAGCGGCCTCACGGTGAGGAGCGACCAGCACTGGCGCGAGGTCGACCGCTGCCTCGCCTACCTCGCCAATACGCGCGACACCGCACTGGAGTTCGGCGGTGGACCTGAGTCGCTGGAGCTGGTCGGCTACGTGGACGCCGACGACGCCGGTGACAAGCAGAATAGGACGAGCACGGGTGGCGACGTGTTCGTCTATGGAGGGGCCGCAGTCTCCTGGTCGAGCCAGCGCATCAAGTGTGCGACGTTGTCATCGACTGAGTCGGAGTACGTGGCAGCCACCGAGGCCGGCAAGGAAGGACGCCGACTTCGCTTCCTCCTTGCAGAGTTCCGGCAGCTGGATGCCGGGAAGCCGACCGTCCTTCGGGTGGACAACAAGTCGGCCATCACAGTCGTCGAGGGCATGGGGTTGACGGGCAACCTCAAGCACATGGAGCGGCGACAGGCCTGGCTGCAGCACATGGTGAAGCGCGGGAAGTTCTCGCTGAGGTACATCCCGACCACTGAGCAGCCGGCCGACTTCCTGACGAAGGCGCTGCACTATCCGGCCTTCAACCGGTGCTCCATCGCCATCGGCCAGGTGCGCTTGGCCGACGTGGGCAACGAAGATGACAACGTGCAGCAGTAGGTGCCATGCCCTCTTGCATGGCTGGTGCGGTGGACGACGTGCTGTGTGTTGGGTGCACGTCGACGAGCTATTCTCCGAGGAGTACTGCCGAGTGGACTTGGGGGGGCCAAGCGTGAACGCGGCAGGGGAGTGTCAACGGGAGTTGTGTGTTGGCCCCGTCCACGCTTGGGCGGAGCCGACTTCGTGGTGGGGTGTACGGAAGGTACAGCCGACTTGCAGCAGTGGGCGACGCCGACTTGGACGAGCTGGTCGACGGGGTTGGTCGACTTGCACGGCGCCACTGCAATATCGCCGACTTGGGAAGCCAGCGGCCGACTTCAACTGGTGGTCGGCGATGTGGCACGTCGACCTGGAAGTCGGCGCCGACTTGCAAGGTCATCGACTTGCAAGGTCACCGACTTGCAAGGTCACCGACTTGCAAGGTCACCAACTTGGGAGGTCACCGACTTGCAAGGTCACCGACTTGCAAGGTCACCGACTTGCAAGGTCACCGACTTTGTAAGTCGGCGCCGACTTGCAAGGTCGCCGACTTGGGAAGTCGCCAACTTCAAGAGGTCAGTCTGGAAGTCGGCGCCGACGTAGAAGGGGCGTCGACCTGGTGACGCCGACTTGGGTAGCTGACAACTGCACTGGTCGACCAGGAGTGACGTCGACCTGGATCTGGTCGACCGGAGGAGTGGTCGACCTGGTGAGGTCGACCTGGTGTGGTTGTCGACTTGGGAGGTCGACGAGCACATACAGGAGCAGCTGGTCGACATAGTTGCCCGGTCGACCAGGATACCTGGGTGACGAGTTTCTGCGAAGGAGTGCGACGGTCACCCAGGCGAAGTTGGCGAGACCGACCTCCATGGTGGTATCCCGAGGTCGTCGTGGCGGATCAGAGGCAGTCGCTAGCCCGAGGTTGACGTGGTGTGTGCGCTGTGCAGGTGACGAGACTTTGCATGCCAATCATCTGCGCGCACCTGCAAAGCGGGTGCACTGCTGTTCTGCGTGAGCAATGCTGACACACCGTCAACCTGCAGCGTTGGCAAGCTGTCGACTTTGCACTGCTGTAGCGTGGTCGACCAAGTCGTGCTGGAACGCGGTCGACCATGCTGTGCTGGCAGTCGACCAACCTGAATGCTAGCTCTGATGTAGTCTTGCATTGCCAACTTCATTGGACCATTATTGACAACTTTCTCTAGTGAAACTCTTGCCAAATTGCCCCGTGAACTAGCAACCAGTGCGAGCACTAGGAAAACGTCTAAGGACCAACGAACGCAGACATCACACGAGCACACGTGCCTAGCCAGTACTCTAAGCTCCCATTGTAGTAGTTATCTTCTCACGAACAACACGGGCGAGCAGGAGGCCGGGGAAGCACCTGGTCGGCAGGGCCCAGAACTGGACGACGTCGAGGTTCTGCAACGGGAAAACTGGTTGTTGCGGGCGGAGAACGCTCGGCTGGCGTCGTTGCTCGATGCGGAGCGGTCCCGGCTGGACAGTTTTTTTGTTGGGGTCAATCGACTCGTCGACCACGTTAAAGGGTTGGCCGAGCAGGTCGACGACACCGACAAGTATGCCGCGGAACAGCTGCGAAACGCGACGGAGGCCATGTCGAAGACCATCACGGGCAACATCTCCGGCAGCTTTGACGAAGCGTGGAAGCCGATGAAGACTTTCGCGGAACATGCGACGGAGTGGTTGGAGGACTTCGACAATCCGGAGGGTCGTGTCGCGTATGCACGAGCGTTAGCGGTCACCTCCTTGGCCGAACACGTGGATTCGGTGGTGGGCGATGCGAAGAAGGGGTTGGAAGAGTACATCTCGAACCACCTTGCCTCCGCGCAGGTCAACATCGCCACCGCTTTGACCGCCAGGCTCGCCGTGTCGCCGCCGCCACCGCCTCATCCCACGCCGCCCGCCATCCCAGAAGAGTTTTTGAAGTCGTTCAAGGCCGACATCCTAAAGGCGGTGACGGAGGCCACCCAGCAGTCTTTTGTTGCTTCCGGGATGAAGATCATGACAGAGATGATCGGCACTGTGGCGCCTGGTCGACGTGGGTTGTCGCCTTCGGCCAATGACGCCGATAATGCGCAAAGAAAAACGGCCGAGAAGCAGGGCCATAAGAGGACCGGCGACGGAAACGACAAGGGGAGCTCGAAGCGGAGCAAGGGAGCGTACGGTAGTTTCGGGTCGAAGCCTGCGCAAAAAAGCGTGGTCGACCAGCTGAAGACGAAGGCGGGGTGGAAGGTGGTAAGGACGTCGCACAGCAAGGGAGGCGGAAGCGGGGGAGCAGAGGGTGGCCCTGCCGACGGGGTTGCCGCCAACCAAGCTGCTCCGACTGGCCCGCCTTTGGTCGCCGAGCAGACCCATCCTCAGGCGAGCGGTGGGAAAGGCGTTACCGGCAAGGAGGTGCCAACTGCTCAGGCGGCGAATGATGGTGACTCTGGAACCACCAAGGGACCACCCGTCGCGGCGTCGGCCAAGCCTGCTTCTGCTACGGTTGCCGACACCACCAAGTCGAGTCCCCGTAACCCCCTTGCGGCTACCAGCGCGCCTGCCGGCCAGTCAGGTGCGAACAAAGATGGCGAGGCTGCTCCAGCTCCAGCAGCCCCGACTGCCGCCAAGGTTGTCGCGAAGGTTGCTTCGGCTAAGGGTGATGCCATGGCATCAGCTAAGGCCCCCCCCGGTGCTACCGCGCTCAGAGAGATGCTCCGCCGCATGGAGGCACATAGCAGGGACGTGCAGCAGCATCCCGTGGTCGACGCCGGCCTTCCTGGAACAGCACGCCGCTCCGTCACTACGCAGGTTGCCGGCAAGTCGTCCGGTGCCCCACCTGCCGCGCCTCCGGTGGCCGCCCCACCGCCTGCGGACCCCAAGTCCGATTTTCTTCGCGCCCATTTAGGCGCACGCAAAGCAACTGCTCCGTCAGTGACCCTGCCGGAACTCGGCAAAAGCGCGACGCCGATGTCGGTAAACGCAACCGCACCCACACCAGGTGCATCTGTGGTCGATGTGGCGGCGGAGAAGGGAGTGAGTGCAGCGCTCGCCACCGGCGGCCGCGCAGACAAGTATGCCGACCTCGCTGTCGTCATGGCCCATTTTGAGGCAGCAAAGCGCCCCGAGCACGCCCCTGTTATGGCCATCATGGACACGGCGCATGTGGTGCCATCGGCGACCCACTGAGGGGGTTCGACGGAGCAGACGGCCGCAATGGCTGCTGTCGCCGAGATAAATGCTGGACGGAAGGAAAAGGACGACAACGGGAAAGGGAAGGCGGTCTCTCAAAGGAGCACGCGGGCGATGACTGCGGGGAAGTTGACGTCGGAAGAGAAAGGAAAGAAGGCGGAAGGGGAGAAGGACAAGACGGGCGGCAAGGGTAAGCCGGCGAAGAAGAAGGAGAAGGCGGAGGAGGAGGACGAGGAGGGCGGCGAGGGAGATAAAGAGCATGGACGCAGGGGTCATGGCATCCGCCGAGACAAGGCTGGCGACGGGCAAGGGTGGGTGGGCGAAATTAAGGTACACGGACAGAATCGGTACATCGGCAAGTCGAGGGAGAAGATGGAGCTGGCCTACGAGCACGCGATTGCGTTCGTCGTCTACGACGGCTACGTGAGCAAGGTGCTCATGAAGGAGCTCACCGTCTTGAACCCGGGGGAGTTGGATAAATGGAAGGAGGTGTGGGCGGAGGTGAAGTTGTTGCCCACTGGGATGTGGACGGTGATGTGGGCCAAAGGCTTGTGCCATCCGAGAGCAAGGTAAGACGGATACTGACGTGCCGAGTTCTGCCGACCAAGTTGGTGTCAAAACGCTGAAGTCCTGTCGTTTTAATGTGTTTGCGCGGCAGGTTCGACGATATACTCGGCAGGTACCGTGGGTACGCGAGTTCGGGTGTTGCGCTTCATGACGTGCTCTGGCCGGCGATCTGGTTCCCCATCATCGAGGACACGGAGGAAGGCAAGGAAGAGACGACCGCTCTCTTGTCGGCGATGGTAAATCGCGTGTCGGTGTGCGCGGCGTATGGGAAGGTCACGGCGAGCGCGGCGTTTGGGAAGGTCGATGCGAGCGTGGAGGGGAAGGCGGACGAGAAGGTGGAGATGGGGGCCCAGGCGTTAGCGGCATCGGCATGAGCCATCTGGTGCTTCTTGGAGACGGGGGCGTCGGTGCTCGGTGCTGTGGGCGAAGGGAAGGCGGCGGCGATGGTGGCAGGTGCGGGGGAGGCGAGGGCCAATGACTTCAAGGAGGTGATGCACGCGGTGATCGACATAGCACGCAGCAGGCAGGCTCCCGCTGGGGAGGTTGCACATAACGTCGCGCCATCGGTGCAGAGCCAGGCAGTTGCCAGGGCCTTCGCGAAGGGAGTTGAGGAAGTCGAGGCCGACATGATCGCAAGAGCGACGGTCGAGACCTTGGCGTTCTGGGGAATGTGCCCCGTCGCCGGGCCCAAGCTCAAAGCGCAGGGCATCGATGTGCCGTGTGACGCGAGGATGGAGTACGATATGGATCACAGGGGGAGGAAGGGGGAGAAGGTCAAGCAGAGCAAGGGCAGCAGCAAGAGGAAGAAGAGCAAGCAGGGCATGGGCAGTACGGATGCGTAGATGGCGGGCTGCGGTGTGCAGGGCACTATTGTATGGTTGGTGCCGACGGCCAAGTTATTCTAATGACTTTTGTATCGTAGGGCACGAATATTTTTCTGTTTTTTAGTAAATCACTGTCCACATTGAAACTTGCTAGCCGACTTTGAACGATGCGCCTTGTCGGCGAATGTGTCGACATCTAAAGGAACATCCTACTCGGCGAGCAGCGATGATAGACGGGGTAGACACATGCTATTCCGCGACGAGATATGTCGGCGAATATGTCGACGCCCTATCGACATGCAATCGTGCGGAACGTCGACATGAATAAGGCACAATGAATTGCACACACATGGTGGCGACTATGTCGGAGTCCGACATATCTGGTTCGGATGTATGTGTTTGATCATGTATGTTCGTGTTGCATCACCATCAACAAGTACAATGGGAACACATATGTTGCTAAATTAGGGCATCAACCTACGCTAAAACACATATGCACCGAGGATGTTCATGCCGACTTCTTGCGCTTTGACGGAGGACGCTGCGCAGGTGCGGTCTGCTTGGCCAAGTCGGCTACGGTCTTCGGCATCTGCTCCTCCCAGGTGTCTGGAAACAGGCGGTCGACCCACTTCGTCGGCTTCAGCTCGAGCGCCACCAGCGCACAGGCGAGGCGTAGCTTCGAGACCACCTTGGGGCCAAGCCCCTTGACGCCCATGCCAGGCTCCTTGGACATCGTCGGTGCCGTCTCCGGGCTGAGCACCGTGAGGGCATCGCAGAAGGTCCCAATGCCCGGTGCCGCGATCGTGTTCAGTGCATCGACCACGGCTTCGGTGTCGGCATCGCCGTCGCTCGTGCGTAGCTGGCGCACCGCATCCATGGCCTTCAGCATGCGGCGCACCCTCATGTTGAGTGCACCATGGGTCGCGCCTTTGAGGAGGGTGTGGCGGTCGATGAACCCCGGCTCGGCGACCCTGTCGCAAAGACGACGGGTGTCATTGGCGGTGGCGGAGTTCCAGAGGCGCCAAGCGTCCCGCACGGTCTTTGAATCCCGCCACGGTTGCACCACGTTGAGCTCGTAACTGGCCTCCTCTGCCGTCTGGGGGGGTGGCGGGGGTTTCCCATCATCTCTCTTGGCTCCGGTCCCCGTGTTGGCCGAATCCGCGGAGCCACCTTCGCCCGGAGTTTGATCGGTAGCCGACGGCGGCGCCTCCGGCATCCTCCGGGCTTCTGACACACGGAGTGCCTCGGTGAGTCGAGCAAGCTCGGAGGTGAGCGACGCGATGGTGTCGTTTTGCTTCTCGATCGTCTCCTGAAAGCCTAGCTTCTCGAGCGCCGAGCGCTCGATCTCCTTCTTCAGCGCCTCCTTGAGGGACATGTTGTGATACTGGGTGTCCATGCGCACGGATATTTCCTGCAATGTTGAGTGTGCGGAATGGCGACAAGAGGTTAGAATTAATTCACCGGCTAAAATCCAACGACGGCGACATGGTCGGCAACTCACCTCCGGTTGTATCTGAGTCGGGTCCCGTCGCTTTTTGATCGTATCGGTGTCGACCGACTCGACCCTTTTCGCCCAGTGCTGGAAGAGGGCAATCCTGTAGAGCTTGGAACCTTGGACGTACGGGTGCCACGGTGTGCGGACGAGCTTCACCGCGAGGTCCTCGGCGACGATTCGTCGGAACATCACGAGGGTGCGCAAGAAGTGCACTGCGGCTGCAGCGGCGTCGCTCCCGTTGATGGCACGCGTCTCCGCCTGCAAGTTGGAAAGTGGCGTGGGTTAGTAGGGAGTTGGGCAGCCAACTAGGCCACGACGACTGAAAAACATTATCGGCGTCGCGTGACATACATCGCGCAGCATAGCATCCACGCCGGGGAAGATGTGCTCGGCGAGGAGGTCCAGGAGTTTGTCGGAGGGCTCGACCCTGCTGCGCCCCAAGAAGTAGTCTTGCTTGAGTCCCGAGTAGCCGGCCTTCCGCATCACCACCCCAACGGGAATGGCCGTGATGTACGCACGCGTCATCTTGTCGAGAGCCCAGTGTCCCAGCTCGGCGATCTCGGCGCGCGGCGTCCCTCCGATGGCTAACTCCTGCGCACCTCCGGCGCGGGCGGCGTGCACGTTCCTTTTGCAGAACACCTTGTTGGTCGTCCACACCTGCCGAGTCCAACGTTGGTGGGTGGCGGCGGAGAGCTCCTCCTGCTCCTTGTCGTTTCTGGCGAAGAAGAGATGCTTCTTGTACCAGCGTCCGCGTTCTGTGATGTCAAGCGGCGAAAGAAAGTCGGTGCCGGAGAACTGACCGATCTGGTCGAGGATGAAGTGCAGCCACAGGCCGGTCTCGCCGACGGCGCACAGCTCCGCTTCCAGGTGTCGCGCAGCGTAGCTCTGCTGAAGACGGGCATCCTTGGAAGTCTTCGAGTTACGCGCGGCGATCACCATGACGACCGGCTGGCTATCCGGGTTCACCTCCGAGGTGCTCGCCAGGTGGTACAAGAAGATGTCGGGGAGCGTGATCTCGCGGATGCTGCCGCCGCGCAGGAGAGTGTGGTGGGAGAGTAGCGTGAGCACCTTGATGAGCAGGAATCGCCACAGCGTCTGCGACGGAGTGGTAGCCCGCGGGTTCCACGCCGCCGCCGCCCATGTCGGCAGCACCCTCATCATGATCTGGCGGAACTGCTCGGCGGTGTAGGTATCGCCGATGGTGCCGCGTCGACGGTCGGCGCAGTTCCTGAACGCAAATCGGCGGGGAAAATCTGTTAGACTGCGTCGACTTCACAGTGCACAGTGATATATAATAAGGTTGTCGACCAACTTACTTGAGGTCCCTCTCGTTCTTGTGGCGGACGTTGAACCGCACCTCCGATCTCACCACCGAGATCTCCCTCATGAGGCCCAGCTCCTTCTCTCGGTACAGCGTCGCCTCCACCCTCGCCGCCATCTGGCATGCCTTTATCCGGCCGAGGATCGTGTGCACAGTTGTCGACCTCACAGGCCCCGTTCGCGTGGCATTGTTCTCCTCCCCGGGCTGGTCAACAATGAGGTTACACTCACGGCTCATTTGCTTCACGTAGGCGCGCAGCCGGGTTTCGGTGACCCTAGGGCCGTGCAGCCAGATGTACTGTCGGCGGACCACTTTCTCGTTGCACCAATCCTCTTTCTTGTTGTCGCGGATGTAGTGGCCGATCTCGTCGACGTGCCTAAGTCGTTGCTCATGGGGTAGCTTGTCGCGTAGCTGCTTCAGCATCTTCGCCGCCCACTTCTTGTAGTGGTAGATGAACGCGGTGTACAGCCTGAGCGTGCTATTCTTCTCCAAGCATTGTAGGTGTCGTAGGGCGTCCATTATGAGCACGTCAATGCTGGAGTACACCATGTCGTCCACTACAAAGTCCGTCGCCTTCCACCCTTCGCGCGGCACCGACATGTGCTGATCGTCCTCCTTCTCGTCCGCTTCGAGCATGTCACGTATGTATTCAAATTCCCGCCTAAGGCGTTCTTCCAAGGTGCGCGGATTCGTGCTACGCGGAGGACGGTCGTCGACTTCGTCGTCACTCTCTTCCTCGTCCTCCTCGTCGTTATCACCTTGGTTTCCGAGCCGGCGGGCACCGACGAAGGTCCAGTCTGCCCATCTGCCGTCGGTGTCGACTTCTTCGTAAACTCCCCAATTGGCGGATTCGGTATGTCCTTGGTGTACTCCCCTTCGGGAATCTGAGTAAGTTTGTCAAGATCGTAAAGCAACTTCAGCGTCTCTACGGGGGCAGAGGACGGACTGTGGTCGGTTGGGGTACCAACGTCGGGCATGTCGACGTCGTCCATGACCGCTCGTATGCTCTACCGCCGGCCGTGGAAGAGGGAAAGATTGGTCAACCAGAGATGGTACTGATTCACGGGTGCGGTGTACGCCCTAATCGTCCTGCGGCGGTCTTCCTCGAATTCCCTCTCAAGTGCTTCTAACTCAGCGTCGACCTCGAGTCGTTCCAGTTGCGCTTTGATGTCGTCGTCTACCGAATCGACGGGGGGTGGGATAAGTTGTTGTGGCTGTTGGGCACTAGCCCTTCCTCTGGCCATGCGTCGCCGACTCGGTAAGGTTGGGAGATGCTATCGTCGCCCTGATCTATCGTCGTCGACTTTCCTAGATGACGACCTAGAACCTAGTAAGGCGAAGTCGACGATGGTCGACCCCAACACCGACCTATGGCAGTCTATTCCAGGTCGTCGCCTTTGTGCCGCCGCTCGGTCGTCTCGGCCGTCGAGTAACCTACACCCGCAGAGATGGCGAGGGTCCTGTGAACAAAACGAAGTGCTAGATGGCGCACAGGAGCATGAGAGAAACATGAAGCTGAACCGGCAGAATGAGAGCGTTGTGCGTGGTCAAGGAGGGGTATGGTTGCGAGCCACTGCGCACCTGCCGCGCTCCACGCAACCCTCTTTGCAAGCGCCGCTGTGCACGTGCATGACGTGTCACGATCGATGCATGTCTAGTGTCACGCCGCTCTGCGCTCAACGGCACTCCCGCCGGTGCCTTGCCACGGTGGAATTCACGTGCGCCACGTGCAATAGGCCAATCACCTAGTTCCACTCTCCCGAAATGCCGTAGCGTCCTGCTCTCCCGCGCAAGCCTCATCGACCTGCGAGTAGGCGCGTGGCCGGAGGCTTGGTCGACGCCGACATTTCGTGACTCTGGGGCTCTCTTCGCCTATGCATTGTTTGGTCCGCACAGAACCATCCGCGTGGGTCGTGCTGCTGCGGTTGGATGTTCGGGCGACACCGACATCTCAATACCCCGCGTTCTCTGGCTATCTAGGTGGTGGACACATGTCAGTCGTCTTTCGCCGCGTGGACGATGGTTACAAGTTTCGCGCGCAGCGAAATATACCCGGTGGTGCGGAGCGGGGCCACGTCGGCGCCGTCGTGGCACCTCCCGATTGTCAGGCTCGATCTCGGCCGTCCCTACTAAGCCACGTGGCAGTAACCGCGGCTCGGCGCACAACGTGTCGAGCTGTGGTTCAGGGTCCGCTGAGGTATCCTTCTCGGGTTTCTCTCAGCGAAACCCGAGGTCGTCAGATAGTCGACAATCCCGAGGGGTTCAGAGCCTCAGAGGACTGCCAGGTCGCCCCAGTTTGCCACTCGCAAGTCGTCAGGAGCTCGTCAATCCCGAGGGGGTTCGTTGTCCTATCGCAACCGCGAAATTGGGCGGCAGGTTTCGTCGGCTGAGGTATACCATCCCCAACACCCCACCCCATCTCGTAAATGGCCAATTACGAGGCCGGTTTTGAACCAAAAAAAATGCTAAGTCCCCGTCGCTCCGTTTTGGGCGGATTGCAATTTTTCTGATGCTACTGGACGTGGCGATTTGAAAAGGGAGGAGCCTGGAGAAAATGAGAAAGGCGGAAGCTGAGGCCGATGCGAGTCGTTGTGCCTGCTCTTTGCCTCCTTCCAAGCATGTACCTGCGCCTTCCTCCTCCCTCCTTCCGCTTGATGAATCATCTCCCTTTTGATGCGAATTAGCTGACCCAATAGTTTCGTTACTACGCCCTCAGCACTTGGTGGTTCACTTCCACAGATCTCCCAACCAGCCATTCCTTGGCTTTCGAGCTTGAAATCATTCATGCATGCAGCTACTTGCGGCTTTGTGCTTTCTCTAGGTGCTTCCAATCCGCTATCAAACTTGCATGCCATGAGGTTGTCGAAATAGGGATAAGGAGATGAATTCTATGCGACCACCGCCCATGATTGGCGTTGACGAATGAGGTAACTGTTGTGCTATATGGATTTTAACGTAAGAACTCCCGCCGTGAATTTGGCAAGCATGATGATGGCGACGCCCATCGCTTCCTCACACTGTTGTTTGCGCGCCCTAGCCAATGTTTGCTGACGGGAATTTTAACTTGAGCACTGCATCCCATGCAATGCCATTAGCTGTCAACCCCCTCCCCTCCTCGCTCATGTCTGGACTTACCATTTTCGCTCCCCCCCCCCTCACTCCTTTCTCCTGCCCACACCAACAGCACCTGTCATCATGATGAGCCCAACCTTTCGCTGCAATGGTCGGCCAGGCAGCATGGCAGAGGCACGATCTGCAGCAGCAGTGGTGGCAGCGAGTGAGTGGAGGAATCCGGGCTGGAGGAAGGAGTGGGAGAGAAGAGAAGTGTGAGATAGCAGAGCTGATTGCACGCTGGACCTTTCAGGCTCCACACCACGCTGGTCGACTTTTAGGCTGCATGCAAAGAATGCAGAGGTGCGAGCCTGCACACGGCATCATTGCATGCCGTGACTAAAGGTGCGGTCAAGCATGTGTGTGGTGTTTCACCTACACATCCACTCTCCCCTTTTTCGCCTACCAGTTCTCGCCATGATCTGTGATTTGTCTGCCTGCCTCTGTCCCCTCCTTCTCCCACCTTCACGCCCATCCACACGTCCGATCGCCACACCACCACCTCTCCCTTCTCTTCAGTTTCCCTTCCCACATCATCCTGCATCCCGCTTTTCAGTCACCGAACCCCACCCCTTCCCACACTCCTTCTAGTGCCTCATGCCTTTCCTATAACCCCTTGTTCTGCCAGCCCCCATTCAACCCGCCTCCTCCCTCCCTCTCCCTCGTCCCTCCTCCCACTGCCCCACTCGCGTGCAGTGCTATGCGAGCGTGGTGAACGAGGAGCTGCACCTGGCACTGCGCGCACACATGGCGCCGGCGGTGTTCCTGCCTGCCACACCGCGTGACTGCAGGCGTGGACAGCCAGCTGTGGTATTACACGAGTGTGTGAGTGGGCTTCTGGACGGACGCCGTGTATGTCTCGCTCATCACCGCGTGCTGCTGGGGGCCGGATGAGAAGGTGTGCGCGATGGGCAAGTGGGAGATGTTTGAGGCGTCCCTGCCAGTGTGATACCCAGAGTCGTCCCTAGACGCACTGGGCCGCGTACCGTGCAAGTACTTTGAGTGGTACGCAGGCCTGGGTGTGGCAGAGTGTGCCGTGTGCCTTGTGAGTCACGGAAACCAGTGGGTGCAGGTGGAAGAGGTGAAGCTCGGATGGAGCTCACTGTCGAGGGCAAGGGCAACAGCAAGGTGCAGGATCCGATGTATGCCGTGCTCGTGGAGGTGATTTTGAGTCGACTCAAAAGGCAGCTGTTCTTTACAGTGCAGAAGGTGCACGCTGGTGCAAAGGAATCACACCATCAAGTTCTGCGCTAGGGGTTGGACAAGCAGGACGCACACGCCTGGAAGGAAAGTGCTGGGAAGCGGCAGATGCAGGAGATGCGGGGGAGGGGCTCGGGGAGGAGAGGGAGGGGGCTTATGGCAGTGTGAAGTGAATGAGGTTTTTCCTGGGTTGAGTACATGTCCCGTGCATCGTCTGTGCTCAACCCAAAAGGCCGCGCGCTGGTTGACTCTTCTCCGCCAGCCGCAGCACCACCAGCAGCGGCGGCGGCGTCGGGGGCAGAGGGTGGGAGGGGAGCAGCTGCAGCAGCATGTAGTGAAGGAAGGTGCAGACTGAGGCAGATGCAAGCAGCAGGAGGAAGCAAGAGGAGGGGGAGGAAGAGGAGGAGCAGGAGCAGGTCTGAAACTGAGGGGTTAGAGGAGACCGGGGGGACTGGCTGAATTTTGTTTGGTGGGTGTGCTTGCCTGTCTATCTTCCCCCTTGCACCCCCACTGCAACCCCTCCTGTCCAAGGACAAGAACAGCGGTGGCTCACCTCTCCCAACAACCCTCTCCTCCTTCCAACCCCCTTCCCTCTCCCTTCTTCCCCTAACCCGCTCCCTCCCCAACTCCCTTCTCCTTCCACAACCCACTTCGCGACGTTGGCTCTCCTCTCATTCACATGCAGCTGAACCAAGGAAAGTGCAGCTGAAGCAGTGGTCGTGCCACCACTATGGTGGGTGGAGGGGAGAGGGGCTGGTGTTGCAGATAGAGCTGATCATCCTCCTGGGCGGCATGTGATCGTATGACAGGTCTTGCACAAACTTTTTCAACCCCCCCCCTTTCCACCTCCATCCATCCTCCGTCCTTCTACCCCCTCCCTCCGGTCCTCTTTTGTATCTCCTAATCCCGTTTCCATTCCCCACTTGCCCCATCACCTGACTTGATCCGTTGATCCACTCAGCTGACGGCCTATCATCTGACTGCTGTCCAGCTAACCGCTTTGCCTCTGGCAACTTCTCTGGTGCCAACGTGGAAGTGAGCAAAGCCGCACAGGATGGAAGGCTACTCTTTCGCCACATTGGCAGATGGATAACCTATCTGCGCCAACAGCTTCCCAACTCGCCATCGCTTCCCGCGCCAACAGCACCTTCCATAGTCGTGAGGTGACCAACTCATGGCCGCGACCCACAGCCTGGCAGCATGGCATGGCGGAGCCACATGGGTGCATTCCTGCGAGGTGTGGGTTGTGCGTTGCACGTAGACGAGGAGGGAGGCGTGGGAAGGAAGAGCGTGGCAGTCGTAGATGTGACATCGTGTGAGTGGGCGTCAGCTGCATGCTGCTCTGCTCCTTGCATGCTGACCACCGGGGGCTTCTACGTTCCACATGAGAAATGCAGCACATGTTATCGACTCATCGTCACATGATATGATTGTGAATGGCTTCTCTGATGATGCCATGTGCTCTGCTGGCAGGCAAGGTAACGTACCAACACGGAGGTGTGGTGGTCCTGGTGGTAGAGTACAGAGTGTGTGCTGAGAATGACGCTGCATAGTGGACGCGGCAATTCGATCCGTTGCTCGGCCCATCAACACATTGGCTCTTCAGAATGGTGAGCCGAGCTGACCCAACAAGCCAAGCCGAGAAATGTTATCAGCGGGCGTGACCGAGTCAGGCTGAGCTGGCTCGTCGAGCTCATGCCCGGGTTGTCAGCTCGTTGAATCTGATCCGACGAGCTGCCGGCCGCCTTGATGAGCCATGAGCTCGCCGGCGAGCTGAGGTCGGCGGAAAATCTTGTAAGAAAACCGTTCTCAGGGAATTGGACGCAAAAAACCATGGTCGCATAGATCTGGCAGACGGAGACGAGCCGTACTGGTTCGTCGACGAACCGGCTGGTTCTGCCCTCATTATTTTAAATGAGTGTTGACTTTCCCTGTGCAATGCCATCATCAGCTATCTTCCACTCCCCCCTCCTTTCTCAACAGTACGTCCTATCCTTATTCCTCTCTTCCCCCGCACTTCCTTCCCCCTCCCACACCAACAGCACCCTGTTCTGGACCACTCGTGGTGGTGAAGTCAGTCAGTGGTTGTTTGTGGGTGTGTGACGTTTTGACAAAGGTGTTGGATGCACGCTGCTCGTTGTGTGTTGATCACGCGGTTGATGCATGTCTCCTTACGTCTCTCACTGCCCCCCTTCCCTCATTCACCTCCATTGGCTATGGCAGGAGCAGGAAGCGTGTGAGCATGGAGTCATATGAGCATAGGCGCATGGGAGCATGGGAAGATTCGAGCATGGGAGCATGAGTGGATGGGTGCATGGGAGCATGGGATTCTGGGGGCATACAAGGGAACCAATTTGTGCCGTTACGGCCGGCCGTCCTTCACTCAGCTCCAATATAATTCCTTCTGAGCTTAGAATATCTTGAGTTCAGATCAGACGGAAACGATTTTAGGATACAGAAACAGGAACTTAGACGGCAGCTACTAGCTGTAAGGAGGTGTATCAAGCAGGCCCTCAGATTCACTTTTAGGCACGTAAGGGTATCAGGGTCCCTCTGCCCCTAGACCCTGATCGTCAGGGTCGCCTAAAAAAAAAGCCTGAAAGTTCAGTGTTACTTAAAAAAAAAAAGTCTGATACATCAGTGTTCCCTACAGAAAAAGGCTGATACTAGTACGGTAGTCTTTATTTTACTAGTAGTAAAAACACTAGGAAGGAAGCAAACAGCAGAACGGGATGTGAGGCTGGATGGCAGGTAGCACGGCTGGGAGGCGTGGATGCATCAATGCTTGCCAGCACGACCTAGACCGCCAGAATCCCTCGCAGCGCAGCCTGCCAGCATCTCTGTGCTGCAACCTTGTAATTGGTCAAGTCACTTAGGGCATGTTCCTACGCTCTTATCAGGCAAACCTCTTGTCAGCCTTGCCTGGTAAAAGTAGCGAGGGTTTTTGGGTTTAGGGAATTTTCAGTGTGTTTTGACTTGAGCTTGATAAGAGGTTGGCCTGATAAGGGGCCGTAGGAACATGCCCTTAATGTTGCAAATGTGGCCAATGAACGGACCAGGCGCGCCAAGGGGCCATCAGTGTGGGCAAAATTGTCCGATAGTCAACGACAGGCCCTGCTGACACCGCGGGAATCTGATTTTCCCAGTACTTCCGGTCAAGTACACTCGTACCTAGTAGGATTCGCTTTCAGGGTCAAACTCGTTACAACGTAAAGGCATCAGTGTCACTTCAAAAAAATTGCTGAAAGTTCAGAGTCATGTGGCATGTGAAGGCTGAAAAATCAGCCCTAGGAAAAGCTGAACACTGGATTTTCAGGGTAGGTAAAAAAAAAACCCTGAAAATCAGGAATTTCAGGGTAAAATTCCTGATATCGTAGGGCCTGGTATCAAGTGGGTGGAATGACAGTTTGGACTGAAGGAATGCAGTAGGAGATAATCCAGATATACATGTACCGATTCAATGGTATGTACTGGGACAAACGTACTATGTCATGATTAGTCAATTCTACGCATACAATATCTCCAGCGTCCAATCGAGCGGACATGTTTTTTTAATTCCAATGGCATTGTGCAGATACATCTTGCTAAGCAGCGTAACAACACATCACAGCCTTCACCTCTGCGTAATTCTTAGTCACCTACAAGACCGTCCTACCTCATTCACACATCCAGATCGTGCTCAAACGGAATCGAATGCTCACTGGAAATGACCACCCCTGGAAGGACATTGGGCTTCAAAGTCAACAATGCATAGTCGTTTGACTTGATGCGCTCCAGGTGCGGCAGGCTCTGCAAGCATGCTAACCCCTTCTCAGTGACCATGTAGTCCTTCAACTCTAGCCTCTTCAAACCTGTCAGACGCCTCATGTAACCCATGCCAACGTCGGTAAGCCCTTGTGGAGCAGAAAGAGCCTTAAGCTTGGGAAGGGACGCCAAGTACCACAACCCAGTGTCCTTGACCGCACTGCCACGGAGATACAACTCCTCAATGCCTGTCAGCTTGCCCACGTGCGCCATTCCATCAGAGGTGACACCCCGACAATTATGAAGCCACAGCACCCTGAGTGAGGAGAGGCCTGTCAGGTGCACCAGGGCAGCGTTGGTTATCTTGGTGTGGCTCAAGCAGAGCTCCTCAAGCCCTTTCATCGCACTGATGCCCTCCAGAGCATGCGGGGTGCTACCATCCAGAATGGTACAGTGCCTGAGATCCAGTTTCACCAGACCCGTGAGGCTGTACACGTGCCTCAAGCCTGCTGCAGTGAAGCCCGAGGACCCGATTAAACTGAGCTCCTTCAAGTCGGACATCTTGAGCAGTTGGCGGAGAGCCGCGTTTGAGAGGGCCGAGATACTGTTCAGCGCCAACGAGTTTCTTTCTGGTGCGTAACCGATCCATGTTGAGAGTGCTTTCTGGATGAGGAAACACACAAATCGTTCAGATAATTCAGAACGAGGTGCAACTGATGCATGCTGACACGATACATCGGAAGAAAAACGCGTTGAAACACAATAGGAAGAAAAGAGAAAGGGAAGGAAAAATATTCAGCACGACGCACACCCACCTCCCATGTTTCCTTGCTTCCCCCCTGGCTCCGTATAACTTCCGCGACAACTTTCCAGATGCGGTTTCTCAGTCTAGCAACCTCCGACTTCAAGGCTGCTGATTTCTCCTCCTCTGCCTTCCACTTCTCCTTCACCTCCCTCTCCATGTCCCTGTCTCCAGACACCTTCTTCTGCACTGCAGCTACTGCTTCTCGAAGCTCGTTTAACTCCTTAACATGTGCCTTTTCTATCGTCTGCGTCTTGCCCTTCACCTGCACCAACCCATCTTTGACTCCAGCTACCTCCCCCTTCACCCCAGCAACCTCTTCCTTCACTCCAGCTAATTCCTCCATGGCACGTGGCATATTCAACTCCTGCACCTCCCTCCTCCTCTCCTCCCTCTCCCTCGCCAACTCTGCTCTCAGCTCACTCAAATCCGATTCCCTCCTCCTTTCAGCCATCTCACATTTCTCTCTCAAATTGCTCAATCCTTCTGCTTGTCTTTTCTCAGCCTCCTCCGACTGAGATTCCACTAGGACCTTCTGTCCCCTCAAATTGCTTCCCAAAACTGCCAATTCCTCCCTCAAACCATTCATCTCTCTCATGTCCTCCGCTCTTCGTATCTCAGCCTCCTCCAAACCCCTCTTCCTCTCCTCCGTGCGTCTCCTCTCAGCCTCCTCCAGCTTGGTCGTTGTCTCTTCCAGCTGCACGCCAGCGCCCTCAATCTCATCTCCATCTCCTCTTTCCACTGGTGCGTTCCGACAATTCTTGTGGTGAATTTCCTAACTGCTTCACTCGCTCTTTGCATCCCTGAAGATGTATGCTTCCTACGCATTGCAGCCCAGCGTGCATATGGGATATGGGAGCAGGCAGATGAAGAAAATGGAGTGGATCACTGGAAAAAAATACGAGGAAAGCATAGCGGAATCGGCCCTAGGCAGCATGGGAGATGCGAGCGTGAAGCTGCTCATGATGATGTTAAAGAAGAAGGCTTTACAACTGGACGAACATATGCCACAGGAAGGAGTCATGGGTAGCACGGGAGACATCCCAGGTTCATGAACTACAGAAGCACATGAGAGGAGAACAAGGGTCAGAGGGCATGAGATGGGGACAATACTAAGAAAAAGAGCTTTCACAATGTTAGTTCCACACGAATACAGAATCTTTGATACGTGAGGTAAGGACATGTTGATGCACGATACAAGAGGATGCAAATGAACGATGGTGAAGTGGGGCATGCTCACATGGTGTTGCGCAGCAGCGGAAAGATTCCACATTGCTGCAGCATGGTGGTGAGGGCGAGAGGGAAAGTGGAGGAGAGATAAGGATGAGAGATGGGAGAGCGACGTGCAGCAGCATGGAAAGCATGAGCGAGCGCACAATGCTGTGATGGTGCAAGAAAGGTCAGACGGCAAAAGATGAAGGTGGGATGAAGTTGGGATGAAGGTGGCCCTGTGGGGGAAGGTGTAGCGCATGGCATACCAGGAGGCACTTGGTTGCACTCTTCAGCTTCATCAGCCCAGCCGTCACAGCCAAGCCCTGCTGATGCACCCATGCTCTGACTTGCGTGTGGGTCACGCCCATCCCCCACAGCAGTGCCATGAGAGTAGAGATTGAAATGTCCAGCAGGAGTAGATGACTTGCACTCGGGACCTGTGATGTGCAACAACAGGGCGAAAGCGGTGACACATGAGTGAGGAAGAGAACCAGCAAGGAAGACAAGAATGGTTCATTTGTTGCAGCAAGGTGGAACTACAGAAACCTCGGTTAACCCAGCACGCACCAGGTCGTGGAGGGAGTGAAGAGGCACGTTGAGCGCAAGAGCATGCTGAAGAGAGGCGGTGACGGCGTAGGCATGCGTAGAAGATTCGCTCGTGGCATTCTGACACGTGGCAGTGGCATTGGCCTGAGAGGCAGTCAACACATGCAAGCATGCATTCAAAGGGGGACATGAACATGCATACACACCCACGTAAGCAGTAAGCACAGTACACATGAAGGACACAGCGATTCAGTTAAACTAGATTAAATGGCCAACTTGATCAAATTAGAAAGCAAAGGAAAAAACGCTTGCGTACATGAGGGAGGGATGCAGAAGGAAACATGAGAGCGTGGTTGACTTGCTGGTTGTCACGTGGAATCTGCAAGAGGCAACATAGGGAGCACAAGTCCGCTGTGGTCTTGGTAAGACACGAGGCAATCCACCCGTTTGAGGAATCGGGTACAAGTGCAGAAATCCACGATGGGGAGAGAACATGTGCAGTGCAGCTATATTGGAGTGGGCATAGCCTGGTCAGCATGCCAAAGAGAGACCACCATGTATTAGACACCACTGTTTGTTGGAATGGCAATGTTTACTCACATCGTCTACAATGGTAGCACGGCAGACATCCCTGTGGAGTGGCTTGACGCTGATTACTGCAATGAGTGCAATGGCAGCACCGAGAGAGAAGGCGACGAGCAGCCCTGGCAGCAGCATGGCCACTGCAGTCATCCGAGCCATGGCTGATGGGGCGAGCCCAATGCAAGGCGGGAGGAAAGAAGCGACGCATCAAGAATGGCAGAACGCGGGCACGGGGACGCCAGAAAACATGCATATAGATCAAGCGAAGAGCAAGACGCGTCTGGCACTCCGGTGGGTGAGAGCTAGCGAGCACAGCAGAGGCGCCGTACCTGGAGTGCGCGCAGGTGGCAGTAGCGGCGGAGGGCAACAAGAAGTGGCAACCAACAGCAGCGAGGTTCCAGAGGCACTGAGGAAGAGAGTAATGGGCAGAGGCTTCAGGTGGTAAGGAGGTGTGCTCACATGATGAAGGCTAGAAAGCGAAGGAAATGGATTCTGCGCAGGAGGAAGAGAGAGGTGGAGGAGGATGATGTGTGCGATGCGCGCGCATTGCCTTGCATTCGCCCTTCTCCGTCGCTTCGCTTTCACGCGAAACCGAATTGCAGCACACGGCGGCATGGATTACTGGACCACCCCCGGGGTGGGGCCCTCTGCACGTCGCCACAAGGTGGAAGGAGCGCGCCACCCTCCCTTGCGCCCATCTCCATTTCCCCGTGCATGTCTTCGTTCGGTCGTGTTCGCACCGCCAAAACGAATCGCTTCGCATTTCATGTACGAATTGAGGGAATAAAGTCGCTCATTACTATTCTTGACGTCTCGCCCATGGCCGACATTTCCTAGCTTTCGCTATGGCGAGCGCAGCAAAGGCCTCTGTCGCCGGTGCGTGCTCGCGCCGGGGAGGATCACGTCGCGGCATCGTGAGGCCGAGGACATAGACCTCTACCAAATCCGACAGTATAGATCGCGAATTTGGCTGAGGCGAGAAAGATCATATGATGCGGGATGCGATGCGGGAGGGGCTAGAAAGAAGCGCGTGCATGGAGAGAGCATGGTGACACCTGGAGCTATGAGCGAGTCGGGAAAACTTGCTTGCTCACAGCGGCTGCGCCCTGAGAAGAGATGGGTTTGAGATAAGGGGAAGAGAAGCGTAAAAGTGATGGGGGGAGTGTGGGTTGGATCTGGATGTGCGAATTTTGTTCAAGATGCGCTGCTTTCGCCACACACGTGTAACCTGAAACAGCGTCCCAAATTCTCTCGTTACTGCACATTCCATTACAAATGCGAGGCACTTCTCGTTTCGTCAAAGTTGTTTCCAAGTTGCCCTGCTTGTGCCCGAAACTTCAATTTCTCGATATCGAAGCCCTCAATGAAGTGTGCAATTTCTCGATATCGGTTCCCATCAATGCTTGGTCGGCTGAAGCAATCCACCCACACAGATACCCCTGCTTTCCCTTGGGATTCCCCACCGACCCTCTTAGTTTGGCGATGACGCGCTCCGGCTCCCATCACACCCGTGCCGCACGCCCATCCGTGATGGCTTATCGACTCAATCTCACCGTTCATTACTCATCATTCCATTCATCCTCATAGTGCGGCATCACCGTCGCACGTCCGACCCATCATCCCAACCCAACCTATCCGAAAGGATAAGATGAGCACCGGCATCCGTCCGCGCTCCAACCCCCGTTGTTCAATCGCCACGGTGAATCAACGAGCTCATGCGCGCAAGAGTCGATCGCGAGAGCACTCAACTGTGTGATGCGGGGCACTGGGACCCATTCACCTATCGTCGCCTGTCCCCTTGTAACGTCTTCAGCCCTTCGCATCACCCAGGGTTGATCGCCAGTTCCTACCATTCTCAGCGTGCCTTTCTGGAAGGTACACCACCCTGCTCCCGTCACCGTTCACTATCAGGGGAAGCTTGTCTCCTCGTGCTGTTCTTCAGCACTCAAACCCTACTATCCCTTCACTAAGCACTGCCGCGGCGATACACATCTCGGACCTCCAACAGCACACAACGGATTCGCTCCACGTTCGCGATCACCGTAAGCACAACCGTCTTATCTGCTTCCCTTTCCTCGTTCGTAAAACACTATACAGCGCCAACCCAATTGCTCTGTTTCGGGTCATACAGTTTCCCTTTCCTCGTCCCCCCTGGCTCCCTGGTGAGCACTCGCGTTCATTGCTGCGTGGAAAAAGGGGAGAACCCGGTAGAATGGCGGAGAGCGAGTGAGTGACGAAGGTGGTAAAAGGTTGGAGAACGTTAAGAAAGAGACGAGCAATGAGGGGATAGGATTGGGCGTTGCATTAGAGGTAAAAAATTGGGAAGGAAAGGGCGGAGACTGAGGGACAGCGAGATGACGAGGTTTTAGGTGAGTGGCGGATGGAGAATGACGAGGAGAAAGGGGCTTTGGAGCGTAGAGTTACGCTGGATGTAGACGGGCGATGAACGAGGGCGGCTAGTTAACAGTAAAGAACAGAAGCATGTGCCGTGTTGTGTTGATGTGTGAGCAATGCGGAAGCTTGAACCTTGTGCTAGTGGCTCCTAAGCTTGGTATTTAACAAGTTTGGTTTCTGTTGGTGGTGTCATTTTTCTTCTTTCTTACTAGTTTTTTCAATATATTATTTTGCACTGTGTGGGCCCTTCGCAGATATTGAGCAGCCCGGAGGTGTTGTACGTGGCCTGGCGTCTCAGTCGTTTGATCTCCGTCGCCCCAGCGACTGTAAGAGCCTGCGTGTCTTTGCAGCTAATCAGTGAGCACCCATATGTCCCCTAGGTTTTTGGCGACAGCTTTCTGGTTGTCCTCTTTCATTAGTAGTAATATGCTTGGTTGAGATCGGTAAGATGCGGGCTACTGTCATTTGGGTCCAACCAGGGCAGTTTTTGAGGGCCTTTGAGATTTCCAGAGCACGATTTCCATGGCCACGAGATCCCTTGACCACCTAGTTCGCTTGTTCCGTCTCTTCCCTTGGACGTTCTTCCTTTCGTACTCGTCTGTCTTGGTCTCTGTACGACAAAAACTGACTGTACGAGTAATGTGCTTGGGATAGTGTTACACGCCAGTAGAGCTCTGCCCATGTGGACAGCAAGTGTTCCTTTGACCCGTTGACCAAGCGATGATCCGCTATCCAAGGTTAACCTGTGTTTCTGGGTTAACATGGTCCCTGGTCCCTGTGATCGCTCGTCTCTCTCCCTGCCTCCCTTCCCTCGCACCATTTTCAGAATTGCCAAGCCTCAGCCGTCACGAACCACGCACTGCATATCGACTCAACCAACTTGCTCTGAGTGGCACAGCAGTCACGAATGATGGTCTGCAGCAGTTGACTTCCCTGACCAGGCTGACGGCTCTCGGGCTGCCAGAAGGGCGTTGGCTTACGAACGATAATGTGCGCAGGCGGATAGGCAGGCAGGTTACAGGGTGTGATGATGGAAAGGAAGGCGAGACTGAGGAGAGGAGTGGAGGAAAGACGTGTGAAGAATGAGGGTAGGAATGCATGCGGAGGATTGAGGCATGGAATGGTGGTTGTGCACGGCTTAACTTGCATGCTGCAGAGAGTTGGAGGATGGACCTGTGGAATTGGTGCCTGGCAATTGGACAGGAGCAGATGTGGGGGCTTTTTTGGGAAAGAGACATTCATGTGCATGAGGGGAGTGGCATAGAAATTGTCTGCCTGTCATTTCATATGATGGAGGTACAACGGTCAGAAGCAAGGGGGACGGTGAAGGGAATGGGAGAAAAAGGGCAGAGGCAAGTCGGATCAGGAAGGGAAGGAGGGGAGATGTGGAGAAGCTGGAGACTAGGGCGAGAAAGAGAGCAGTGAGGGAGGTGAGCATGGTGGGCGGCAGCAGTGACAGCAGCAGTGGCAGCAGCAACAGCGGTGGGCTAGGTTTGAGATCAGGGGTGAGTGATGTCTCGCATGGCTGCATGAGGGGAGCTGCATAAGAAATGCCTGGCTGTTTGGGTGCATGGTGTACAGTATCTTTACAGAGGAGGGAACATGGTGTGTATGATGGAGCTTGTAAGGCAATGTTTCAATAACATGAACACCTTGATCATCTTTATGTCATACTGCTCTTATAGCACCCATCAAACAATGCTGATGGTGGAAAGGCCTTGACCTGGATGGCATGGCAGGCGTGTATGCTGAGAACTTACGTCTCTCCTTTTACCGGTTTTCATGCAATGAGTATTTGTGCACACATGGACCGGTAGGGGCCCTTGGTGGCAGAGAGGGATGATCGGGGCCTTGATGATGGAGATGAAGTAATCGAGGTGGAGGTGTGTGCAAGTTGGCTGAGCGCCTGTGCACAGTTGAGGATAGCTGTGAATCTGTGTCTTGATAGTGAACTTGTGCCTTGATCTCAGACTGCAACAGCGCAGGCTGTATAGAATCAGTTGCATACGAGTGTGCGTCAACTAGTCTCGCTGGCCTGATGTTGGATGCAAGCTTAATCATGCCCCACTTCAGTCTTTTGTCAGATTCAGAAGATCTACACCAGTACAAAAAGCTCCACCACATTAGATTTGTATCAGAACACAGGCATGTGCTGCCTAAGCTGGTTGGCAGGGCATGATCCATGGGATGGAGGGCAGCTGTGAAGCAAAAGTGTGGCTGTTCCTGCATGAGAAAGGATAGAAGTCACACGTGCCGCACCACACAACCTTACCGGTATGCCCCATTGTATCCCTCTAAGATGATTATGCTGCGACCAAGCAAGGGGTACCGTCATCACCCGGATATACCCCCAGGCCTATGTTACACCCATGCGGTTATAATCATACTAGTGGGCTTATAGCCGGTTGCCGATTATAAGCCCACCCCAATTTCTGTCAATCTTTGTATAAGCGCACCCAATGAATTCTGTTTTTTTTTTTTTTAGCGAAATCGCCACTAACGCACCTAAACGAATCGTCACAGACGTGCATGACGAATTCCCCCCTGGCTCGCTTGGCAAAATTTCCACAGGAGGTGCACGTGCGCGAAATCTGCAACATTTGACTGGTGCTGACTGGGATTCTTGACTGTACGACACATTCTCGGAACTTTTCAGCATGGAACCTCTTTGTGTTAGCATCGATTTAAATCGCCAGGGTGAAATCCACATTCCAGTGTTATAAAATTAAATTTCCATAAGTGTCATTTATTTAGCCCATGGGGTTATAAAATTTACCACATTATAAGCCCACCCACCATTTTTCCATGTTTTTTTACACCCCCACCTGGGGGTATATCCGGGTGATGACGGTACACATGCACGGGCAGAGACTGAGGGAAGCGAAAGTGACCCAGTGACGACCGTGCAAAGGGGTATATAGGGGAGGAGGAATGGTTTGAGTTATGGCACCAGGTGCCAGATAAGGTATGGGATGAGGTGTGGGATGAGGTGTGGGATGAGGTGTGGGATGAGGTGTGGGATGAGGTGTGGGATGAGGTGGGATGAGGTGTGGGATGAGGTGTGGGATGAGGTATGGGATGAGGTGTGGGATGAGGTGTGGGATGAGGCGCGGGGTGAGGCGTGGGATGAGGAGTGGGATGAGGTGTGGGATGAGGTGTGGGATGAGGTGGGATGAGGTGTGGGATGAGGTGTGGGATGAGGTATGGGATGAGGTGTGGGATGAGGTGTGGGATGAGGTGTGGGATGAGGTGTGGGATGAGGTGTGGGATGAGGTGTGGGATGAGGTGTGGGATGAGGTGTGGGATGAGGTGTGGGATGAGGTGTGGGATGAGGTGTGGGATGAGGTGGGGATGAGGTGTGGGATGAGGTGTGGGATGAGGTGTGGGATGAGGTGTGGGATGAGGTGTGGGATGAGGAGTGGGATGAGGTGTGGGATGAGGTGTGGGATGAGGTGGGATGAGGTGTGGGATGAGGTGTGGGATGAGGTATGGGATGAGGTGTGGGATGAGGTGTGGGATGAGGTGTGGGATGAGGTGTGGGATGAGGTGTGGGATGAGGTGTGGGATGAGGTGTGGGATGAGGTGTGGGATGAGGAGTGAGATGAGGTGGGGGATGAGGTGGGGGATGAGGTGGGGGATGAGGTGTGGGATGAGGTGTGGGATGAGGTGTGGGATGAGGTGTGGGATGAGGTGTGGGATGAGGTGTGGGATGAGGTGTGTGTGGGATGAGGTGTGGGATGAGGTGTGGGATGAGGAGTGGGATGAGGTGTGGGATGAGGTGTGGGATGAGGTGTGGGATGAGGTGTCGGATGAGGTGTCGGATGAGGTGTGGGATGAGTTGTGGGATGAGGTATGGGATGAGGTGTGGGATGAGGTGTGGGATGGGGTGTGGGATGAGGTGTGGGATGAGGTGTGGGATGAGGTGTGGGATGAGGTGTCGGATGGGGTGTGGGATGAGGTGTGGGATGAGGTGTGGGATGAGGTGTCGGATGGGGTGTGGGATGAGGTGTGGGATGAGGTGTGGGATGAGTTGTGGGATGGGGTGTGGGATGAGGTGTGGGATGAGTTGTGGGATGAGTTGTGGGATGAGTTGTGGGATGAGGTGTGGGATGAGTTGTGGGATGAGTTGTGGGATGAGTTGTGGGATGAGTTGTGGGATGGGGTGACAAATGCGCAGGGTTGTGCTGTCACCATCAGCCAAGCACCAAGGAAAAGGGGAGGGGGGAGAGGGGAGAAAGGAGGAAGAGGGGAGAAAGCGGGGAGAGGGGAAACATGGGGGGGAAGGGGCTGGGAGGGCGAAGAGGGAGAGAGACCCGGGGGACATACACAAGAGCAGCGCAGGAAGACGAGAGGGGTGTGGACGGTGGAATTGAGGGAGAGAAGAGAAGACTGTCGTGTAGCTGATGTGGGAGGGACGGGGGTTGCAACGTTATACTTCTGGTGCTTGGTTAGGATGGTGAGCGGAAGGGGAAAACATTTGAATTGAAAAGTGGGTGTGATGGATTGATGTGATGGGTGCAATGGTTGAAGTGGGGCGAGTGGAGAACTTGGAGATGAGGAAGGGGGAAGAGGGCGAAGGGAGGGAGTGGTAGAAGGGATACAAGAAGCTTTGAGGGGGGTGAGAGAAGGACGGAGGGAGGTTGGAAAGGGAGAATGGGAGCGGAAAAGATAATGGGGAAGGCGAGGAGGAAAATGGAGGGGGTTGGGGAATTGAAAGAATTTATGGTACACCTGTTATGACCACCCAGGGAGAGTATACATACAGGCGAATACAATGACCACTACTTCAGCTGCACGTGCTTTGGAGGAGGTTGCAAGCTCCTGCAAATAGGAAGGGGCATTGGATGAGAGATGGATGGGTGTAGTGAGGGATGCTGGACTGAGGAGGGGGTGGATTGTGGCGATATTGCACCGGACGTGATGACGATGACATGTGCCAGTGGAGTGCAGGAGTGACAATGGATGCAAGTGTGTAAAACCACACCACATCGTTTAGTGCTGCCAAAGCCAAGAGCAGGAGGATGTGTCAATTCATGGGCGAAACAAGTCCACTGATAAATTCCAAATTGGACATGAGAGGAGTCTTCTAAAACAACTCAACGTCTCTCACCTCTGATGGCACCATCGTTACCCTGGGTCGCCGACAGCTGAGAGGCCTCACCACCACAAGTACTGCTGCAGCCCGCTGCTCTGCCATGCTGCCTGCCTGCCTGCCCTCATCGAATAGCTAAACTCCACATAACTAGTACAGGACAGGTGCTGTTGGTGTGGGAAGGGGAGGGAAGATGGACCGAGTCGGTGAGAGGACATGGTGCTGCATGGGGTGAATGTAATTGGGGGGCATAGCATGACAAGATGAAGGGCATTGTACGATGGGATCATACAATAATTCTGCTGACAACTGGCTGGCGTTGGAAGAGCTGAATGGGAAGGAAAGAGAAGGGGGAGACAAGGACAAGGACAGGAGAGCTGTCAAGAGAGGACAGGTGGGCGCCTCTGGAGACAAGGACAGGAGGGCGTGCAACTTCCTGAATGGGGAGACAAGGACAGGAGGGCGTGCAACTTCCTGAATGGGGAGACAAGGACAGGAGGGCGTGCAACTTCCTGAATGGGGAGACAAGGACAGGAGGGCGTGCAACTTCCTGAAGGGGGAGACAAGGACAGGAGGGCGTGCAACTTCCTGAAGGGGGAGACAAGGACAGGAGGGCGTGCAACTTCCTGAATGGGGAGACAAGGACAGGAGGGCGTGCAACTTCCTGAATGGGGAGACAAGGACAGGAGGGCGTGCAACTTCCTGAATGGGGAGACAAGGACAGGAGGGCGTGCAACTTCCTGAATGGGGAGACAAGGACAGGAGGGCGTGCAACTTCCTGAATGGGGAGACAAGGACAGGAGGGCGTGCAACTTCCTGAATGGGGAGACAAGGACAGGAGGGCGTGCAACTTCCTGAATGGGGAGACAAGGACAGGAGGGCGTGCAACTTCCTGAATGGGGAGACAAGGACAGGAGGGCGTGCAACTTCCTGAATGGGGAGACAAGGACAGGAGGGCGTGCAACTTCCTGAATGGGGAGACAAGGACAGGAGGGCGTGCAACAACTTCGGCATGTTGGTGCTCACCAGAAAGGAGATGGAAGGGAAGGTGGGAAGAAAGGTGGGATTGTGGTGGGTGGTGTAGGGAGGTGACATCGAGTTGGTTTACCGCAACAATGTCCGCGTCTGCTCCATCCTAGCCACCCCCTTTTCATCCTCGTCCTCCTCCAACCCCTCTTCCTCCCCCTCCTCATCCTCCCCCCACCTATATACCCCCCCACCCCGTCAAACATCCCTTGACCTCCTCACTTCGCTGCAGCGATGCCTCCCCCATATTTCGCGACAGGCGGGGTTCCCAGGTCCTGTGGCTTTCTGCTTGCAGCAGCGAGGCGCCGCTGGGTGGGCTGACGATGCCTGCGAGCAGCCCCTCCTTCCGCCCCCTCCTCCCCCCCGCTTCACAATCCTCACAGAGCCTGCTTCAGATGTGACAGTCGACCATGACTCGATCTCCTGCATATCTTTATCTGAACTTTCACTCCCCCTCCTCCTCCACTTCCACCGGATCCTCCTCAAGGCCCCGTGTCACACAGCCCGTCTGCGTCTGCATCAGCGCTCACAACAGTCTCATCCGCTAGCCAAAGCAGGCGTGCCCTTCACCAGCACCACCGCCTGCCACAGCAAGGGACGAGAGGGGACACGGAAGACTGTGGCTAGCAGAAGGACGGCAGGAGAAGGCAAAGAGTGATGAAGCGTCAAAGCCTGGCTGTGATAGGGCTACGTACAAAGACAGAGCAAGCAGGACTGCACTCAACAACACTTCCTCTGTTCTTGGCTAAGCTCGTCACCCGTTTCTCACGCTCACGCCTACCTCACCGTACCCCTTCCCCTCCTGCCCCATCCTCCGCCTCCTTGACCCCCAGGAACTGCAGCCAGGTGGCGAGCTTACCGTGTGGCGCGCAGTGGCCCCATCATCAGGCTTGTCCTCGCTTACCGTGTGGCAGGGCAAGCCTGGTGCAGGCAGGACAAGCCTAATGCAGGCTGGGCAAGCATGATGCAGGCTGGGCAAGCCTGATGCAGGCTGGGCAAGCCTGATGCAGGCTGGGCAAGCCTGATGCAGGCTGGGCAAGCCTGATGCAGGCTGGGCAAGCCTGATGCAGGCTCGGCAAGCCTGATGCAGGCTCGGCAAGCCTGATGCAGGCAGGGCAAGCCTGATGCAGGCTGGGCAAGCCTGATGCAGGCTGGGCAAGCCTGATGCAGGCTGGGCAAGCCTGATGCAGGCTGGGCAAGCATGATGCAGGCTGGGCAAGCCTGATGCAGGCTGGGCAAGCCTGATGCAGGCTGGGCAAGCCTGATGCAGGCTGGGCAAGCCTGATGCAGGCTGGGCAAGCCTGATGCAGGCTGGGCAAGCCTGATGCAGGCTGGGCAAGCCTGATGCAGGCTCGGCAAGCCTGATGCAGGCAGGGCAAGCCTGATGCAGGCTGGGCAAGCCTGATGCAGGCTGGGCAAGCCTGATGCAGGCTGGGCAAGCCTGATGCAGGCTGGGCAAGCCTGACGCAGGCTGGGCAAGCCTGATGCAGGTCCACATGTGGTCGTGCGAGAGTCGAGACAGTGGAGCAGAGATCGCAGTTGCCCTTGAGAAGGGGGCACGGCACACAGGAACGTCGTCACGCTGAGGGACGGCAGCCCGCCCGCGGTGTGGCAGTCAGGAACACCGCCAGCGCCATTTGTGCGCGCAGCGCCAACAGCTGCTCCTCGTTCACCAGCCACCACGCACCTGCACAGAACTGCACGCGGTGGGGCAGCGGGAGGGGGGACGGGGGAGTGGGAAAAGGCAGGGAATGGGCACGTGGGGACTGGCTGAGAAAGAGGTTGTAGGAAGGACAGGAGGCACTAGGAGTGTGGGGTGGGGAGGGGTTCGGGTGACTGAAAGCGGGATGCAGGATGATGTGGGAAGGAAAAAATGAAAAGAAGGGGGAGGGGTTGGTGTGGCGATCGGATTAGTGGATTGGCGTGACGGTGGGAGTAGGAGGGGGCAGAGGCAGGCAGACAGATCACATATCATGGCGAGAAAATAACTGGTAGGCAGTGGGGGAGAGAGAGTTGATGTGTAGGTGGAGCACAAGCACCACAGACATGTCACATGCTTGACCACCTTCAGTTACGGCATGCGATGATGCCATGTGCTGGATCGCACCTCTCCATTCTTTGCATGGAGCCTGAAAGACCCAAATGACCAGCATTCGACCAGGCGGACCCTAAAGGTCCCGCGTGCAGTTATCTTCGACTGCCTCACCCTTCGTATGGAGCCTAAAAGACGCGAATTACCGAAATTCGCGTGCAATGAGCTTCTGCTGCCTCGCTCTTCTTCTCTTCCCTCCCACGCCTTCCTCCAGCCTGGATTCCACCACTCGCTGCCACCACTTCTGCTGCTGCAGCCCCTGCCTCTCGTTCTGCCCAGCCGTCCATCGCAGCGATTGGTTGGCCTCTTCACGAGGGCAGGTGCTGTTGGTGTGTGAGAGAGCGAGGTAAGACGGTACTACTAAGCGATGAGGAAGAGAGGCTGATAGCTGATGGCATTGCGCAGGAAAGCTGTAATCTGATTCATCCTTCCGTCAGCAATCACAGGCAATGGCATGAATGGACAGAATCGTGCCTTGCAGCAATGGATGGAGAAAGGAAGTAGTACAGATTCTTTTGTGTGGGATGTAAGTTTGTTACACCACAGCTTCTGTCACCTCCATGGCGCGTCACCCTATCTGCAGTCAGCTAAGAGCCATCCGGATTCACTCCACTGCACCTGCCGCCATGATGATGCTTCGCCCATGGCGAATGCGGTGACGAGAGCAGGAACAGTGTGAGCAAGAGGTGGGCTTCAGCACCATGCTCGCCACATGCACCGTGGGAGCTCTTGCATCGGCGTGTGACGCAAGAACTCCCATGTACTACTGGTAGTTACACTCGTTCGTCTCACCATATTTGCACAAGGCCGATTCAAATGTCAACTGCGGCAACTTGAACCCCCGGTTCGTCAACGAAGCAATACCCGCGTGGCGTAACTACTACTGTGCGGGTTCGAGTCGGAGAGCGAATTAGGAAGACGCAGAGAGAAAGCACAAAGCCGACACATTGCTGCCACGCTCGTCCCTACCATCACTGCTGCTGCTCGCCTCCACCACTCCCCGTTGACTGACTTCACTGCCACCACTGCTGCTTCCGCAGCCCATAGCTTTGCCCTGCCGTAGCTCTCAGCTGACAAGCTCTCGACTTGTTTGTGTGTGGTAGAGATGCGCTGAGCATGGTGCTGGTGGTGTGGACCGGAAAAAGGGGGACGGGGAGGGAAGCGCAGAGGCTGAGCGAGGAGGGGGGAATGGCAGACAGTTGATGTTGGCATTGCACACAGGAAGGCTGTTCTCACTTTCGTTCAGCCTCATCGGCGAGCAGAAGCGAGATACTGTCACTAGATGCATGCGATAAGGGAGGGAGGCAGAGCGGCATCAATGGATGGAAGAACGGAGGGGATGTAAAAACAATGTCACATACTGCTCGTCGGATTCTCACCTCGATGTGGCACGATGCCCTACTGCCCTCCTCTCAGAATCTGTCAGCTGAGAGGCCATTATCTGAGAGGGTACCCCGCATTCATACGCCGTGCTGCCTCGACGCAGCCGTGTGCGTGGACGGGCGGATCCCTCACTGGAAGTGCGGTGGCATGTAAAATTCGCGTGTCTCGCCATCACGCTCCTCTCTGCGCAAATCACAGTGGAATTTCGTGCATCGTGGAATGAAGGCCTCGTTTTCGCGACGAGAACCGAGCACGAAACCCTAATAGTAACGTTTCGTCTCGCCACTTCCGCGGACAGTGGCGACATCGAGGCTGTGCGAATGGGCGACGTCACCTCGTCAACCAATATATACCCTGTTAGCAATAACTAACTCCTAGAAACAGACCAAAGCGCGTAAGCCTTCTCCCTTCCGCGCCCGTTTTTCATCCCCGCGTGCGTGTCTTCGTTCGGTCGACTTCGCTTCGCTTCCGAATCGGCCATTGCAATCATGGCAGGATGGACATCGTCACGTCGCCCATGGCTGTTCACAAAGATCTGTTGGAATTGTCGCACCGGATACGTGCTTGCGTCGGCAAGCATCATGTCGCGGCGTCGTGAGCCCGAGGACGTGAATCTAACAGATCCGACGGTATATATCGGATTTGCCTGTCACGAAGCACCAGCGAGCGTAACAATGCGCGAATGCGACACGATAGGGGCGAGTCTCCACCGTTTGAGAGGAGATTGGCGTGAGTGACGGAGAGGAGGAGAGGCGTGAGAGGATGAGGGCGTGGGGTTGTATCTGGATGCGCGAAGGAACTGATTTCGTCAGCACGTGCGTTCCAGATGGCACTTCTCATTTCGTAAGCAAAGGTGTTTCCAGGTTGCCTTGTTAGGTGCACGAAAAACCTCTGTCGAGTTCGCAACTTCGATTTCGTCGCCGATTTCGTCCTCCACTTCGTTTGGTCCCTTCCCTGCAAGCGTGAGGGCAGCTCCGACATGTGTGAGGCGAAGTTGTAAAAAAACGCAACATATGCTTTCCGCACGTTTGACAATCTTGACAGACCAGTAGGACCAATTTGACGAACCCCAGACCACTTCCTCTCGTTCGAGCACCACACCCAAACCAACCCTGTACCCGAGCACCACAAACGAACCTGTGCTGGTAACCGAGCCTGAACCCCGATGCGCCAGTCGAACAGGGCCTTTCTTGGACGCGCCTTCGACCCGGCGTGACTTACCTTCACGTCACTTGAAGTCTCGATACTTCCACCGTATTCTTCTCCACTTCTGCACGCTTCTCTTCGATTCCCACTGTAGGTCCCATTGCTGCCGTGTTTCTTCATCCACCGCCCCAACAGTATTAGCTTATCTTCTTCTTAGGTCCTTGCTTTCCCTTAGTCTCAGCCTGTCAAGGTAGGTCTTTCGTAAGTCGATTTAGGTCCCTCTAGGTCGTGGTTAGCTAACCACTTTCAACATTTCTTTCCTTCGTGCAGTCCAACGACCGTAGTAGTTCGCACGCTGGTCGAATCCGAGGAGGACTGGACCGCGCGAGCGCCGCCATGCCTCATCACGACGACATCGCGGCAGCGATGTGCTGCCATCTGTCACACGCTACTTCGTTCTCGTCGCACCTCCTCTCCCTCCCCTTTCCCCTCCCCTCCCTCTCCGCTCACCGGCCTCTGACGTCCTTCATTGACCCGCGTTGCGTGACTTAAGGCCTAGCCGTTCATAGCGACTAGTGTGTACATTTCCATTCGTTTCACGGCTTCCTCTTTCCGGTGTCTCGGTCGCGCTCGCACCTTAAGACCTCATCCCCACCTCAGCACAGCAACCGTCACGGTGTGCTTCAGGTATGAGTTTCCTCGTTACTCGTGGTGCCACCTCGCACCCACGTCCACTTCCACCTCTCATGCATCGCCCTTCCTGTGCCCAATCGCCTTCATACATGCCATGGCCCATTCCTCTTTCTCCATCTATGTTCCTGCTTCTCGCCTGATTGCTTTGTTCAACATGTCCATCGAATGGGCCTAAAAGTGATTCCTGCCCTGATCTTTCTCTTTTCAAGCAAATCCCTGCATCTGTGATTATTTTCAATTCCACCATGACCTCGCTCTGAAGTGTGACGCTGTGCCACATCCGTTCTAGGTTCATACGTACGCCCTTCTAAGCGTTGCGCTCTGCCCTCCACCAATGTAGCTTTGCCCCACTGCCAATCTCTTGCCTTCTGAGCTCTCTTCCACCACCACTCCTTTGTACACTCATTCATGCATGCCTGTTGCTGCACGTGCCACTCCTGTCTCTCATCCTTCTCTCTTCTCCACTTTCCCGCTCGCCCTCACCATGCTGCAGCCACGTGGAGGCTTTTCTCTGCTGCACAACACCATGTGAGTATGCCTCAACCCCCCATTGTCCAATCGCTTTTTAATTCCAAACTCTTGCTTTATCATTTCCTCACTGTCTATGAGTGATTTCATTGCTGTAGAGCGGTTTGCCTTGGTATTGACCATGTTTTCTTGTGCCGTATGCTATGCGGTGCTTATTCACCTCGTTTACACTCATCTCTTGCTGCATAACTATTTGTTCTCATCTCATGTGCTTCTTACTTGACCTTTCTTACATTTACATGTTCTTGTCCTTTCTTCCTTGTGACCTACCCGTGGCTCTTTTCTCTTTCATACTACTCTCATCGCATGCTGTAAACCGTTCATGAATCTACATTTTCCCACCTTAGACATCATAATCAGAAGCTGCCCTCACATCACCCGTGCTGCTTAAAACTGACTCCACTCTGCCTTCCTCGTATTGTTTCCCGAGTCTCCACTTGCATTTACTCTCATCTATCTGCTGCAATTCGCACCCATGTGTTTCCATCCGTGTACTGCCATGCGTAGGAAGCATGCCTCATCTGGGATGCAGAGAGTGGCTGTCATGTCAAGTATGAGTGGAACACATGAGTTGGGTGAGACATTAGAGATGAGAATGAGGGAGCTTGGCGTGCAGCTGGAAGAGACAAGGAGGGAGATACAAATGAAGGTGGGGGAGGAGAGAGAGCTGGCAGAAGAATTGGCAAGAGTGAAGCGGGAGTTGGCTGCAGTGAATGGGGAATTGGCTGAACACAAGGGTGCAGTGACGGAGCAGAATGATAAAACAAGAACGGAATTGGCAAGGGAGAAGGAGGAGAGGAGGGGGGATGTGCAGGAGTTAAATGAGTTACGCGCTATGGAGGAATTAGCTGCCGTCAATGAGCGGTGGCCGGTGAATCAAGATCTGGAGTATGCGGCGAAAATCAGTCAGAGTGAAGAAGATCGAAAGAATGCATTGGAGGTGAGTTACTGTGCCATGGGGCAAGCATTGCTTGTTCTTTTCTTGTCATAGTAATTTTCCTGATTGATATCCCCCTTTTCACCCATTCACTCCAGGCAATCAAGCTTGCATCATTCAAACTGGACCTGAGCGATTGCACCGGCCTGTCAGATGCCATGCTCGGTCATGTGTCCACCATGACCCGTTTGGCGAACATCAACTTAGACTCTTCTTCAGACTTCAGTGCCGAGGGCGTCAAGCATCTCTACAGGCTTCCACGGCTGAAGAAGCTAAACCTCAGCAACACAGACATCTCAGACAGTGCCTTAGAAGGCATTGGATCCTTGACCCGCCTCAAGGGGCTCCATCTCGACTTGACCATGGTGACTGACGCTGGCCTGCTGCACTTGACAGCTCTGCCCTCTCTTGAAGTGCTGCGGCTTTATGAATGCGAAGGTGTGACGAATGCTGGCATGTTGGTAGTGGGGAGGCTGAGCGGGCTTGAGAAGCTTGTGCTCGATGGAACGTCAGTCACAGATGCAGGTCTGCCGCACTTGACAAGCCTCTTATTTCTTGAACAGCTTGACCTCAGTTACTGCAAGGGTGTGACGGATGATGGCATGGTGAATGTTGGGAGGTTGACTGGGCTGGAAAAGCTTAAGCTGGATGGAACAGCAGTCACAGATGCTGGTCTGCTGCACTTAACTGCTCTTCACGCCCTCAAAGAATTGCGAATTGAGAAGTGCAAGGGTGTGACAGATGCCGGCATGGTGCATGTGGGGAAGTTGACATGGCTTGAGAGTCTTTGGATGAATGGCACAGCAGTCACGGATGATGGGTTGCAGCAGCTGACTGCCCTGACCAAGCTGGCACGTTTGGGGCTGCCAGGAGGGGACACACTTAGGGGCGATGATGTACACAGGCGGATAGGCAGGTAAATGGCAGGGATTGATGATGGAAAGGGAGGTGAGGCGAGGGACGGAAGGGTTGACTGTGAATGTCTAGGGGAGACTGAGGAGGTGCGTGGAGGCAAGGAGTGTGAAGAATGAAGGGGGACATGCATGTGGAGAGTTAGGCATGGAATTGTGGTTGTGCACGGCTCAGCTTGCATGCTGCAAAGATCTGGAGCGTGGTGGTGTATAAGGGTGCGTGTCGTTTGTAAAATTTATGCAAAACTCGAGTTTTGAGTTGAACTTAAAGCAGTTGAACCTAGGTCGACGTAGGCTCGACAATATCGGCAGCTGTAACCCGAGTCGCTGCTCCTCAACTCACAAGGAACACAGGACACACGAAAGCTCAACTATCGGGGTTGAACTTTCCCGAGTCGCGGTCAACCTACGTAGGTTACCCTGTTTGCCACGCGTTTTCGACGATGCTATAACATTTTTTTCCAAAGTCAGTCGGCGCACGAATTGTGCTGCGAATTCGCAGCTACCTCGTGATTGTCAAGAGGACACACGAGTGAATTTTCATGCACGCATGGGTTGAGCCAAAGTTCAACCCAGGCTTAGTACCATTTCATCAACAATACCCAGACACACGATACCCAGACGAAACATGTATCAAGATTTGCGAACAACCGTTACCAGCAAAAGTTCAACCAAATTTTCGAACCTCTACAGCAAAAGACACGCGCCCTAACTGGTGCCTTGCAGTTGGACAGCAGCAAGTGCAGGGCTGGTTGGGCAAGAAACCTGTGTGCATGAGGGGAGCTGCATATGAATAAGCTGTGTGCATTTCTTATGACGGAGAGGGGAGCAGTCATCAGCAAGGGGAAAACGGCCAGAAGCAGGGCGGACGGGGAAGGGGAAGGGGAGTTGGAGGCGATGCAGAGCAGGAGAGGAAGGGGAGAGGAGGCGAGGAAGCTTGGGAGAGGGCGAGCAAGAGAGTAGCGAGGGAGGCGAGCATGGTTGGTGAAGCAGTGGCAGCAGCAGTGGTGGCAGCAGTGGCGGCAGTGGCGGCTGCAGCAGTGGTGGGCGAGGTTGAGATCAGGGGTGAGGAATGCTTTGCGTGGCTGTATGAAGAGACCGTGGTAGACCACTGCCCACCACTGCTGCTGCCACTGCTTCCAGTTTACGGCAGACCGGCCACTGATGTGTCCACGCGTAGGTGAGAGAAGCTGGGTAACCAACATGCATTCACATGAAGAATCAGAATTGTTCTCTCAACCAATCTCCTTTCCCCCATCCATTGCTGCAGCGCACGGCCCCCTCTTTTCGTGCCCTTGCTGATGTTCGCTGACAAACGAATGATTCTGCGCACTACTTTCCCCCTCAATTCTGCGCATTGATATCAGCCATGAGCGAATCCCTGTCTTACCTCCTCCCCTCTCTCCCCCTCGCACCCTGCTTCTGCCCTCACCAACAGCAACTGTCCCCATGAGGAGACCAACCTATCGCTGCGATAGACAGCGGGGCAGCATGGCAGAGCCACGGGCTGCACAAACAGCAGCAGTGGTGGCGTTTGAAATGGGCAGCATCACGTTCAAGGAACACAACACTTCCAGACTCACGGGTCGCAGCAGAAGTAGCAGCAGAAGTGGCGTTGAAGGCAGTCAGCGGCGAGTGGAGTGGGGTGGGCAGGAGGAAGGAATGGGAGGGAAGAGGGAGGCAACAGAGAAGGTAGCTGCGTGCCGGGCCTCAATCCCCACACCTCCTTTTTTCTTTCCTTTCCCCGCCCCACCATTCCAATCCGAGCAATTTATTAGAAGGATAGCCACAACGCTCTTGGTCGCATTCCAGACTGCGCCGCAGCAAAGCAAACCCGCATCCACTTCTTCTGTTCACCCTGCCGCCGTCTCTCCTCCCTGCAGAATCAGTGCTTTCCATTCTACACCAGCCACGATCACCGTCATCACCACCATACCATACCACTTCTGCAAGTAGGACCGTGCCATCCCCAGTCCCTTTTCCCCCAATTGCCACCCTCTCTGGAAGTGCTGACGGAATGGGGACAGCAGCAGGTTCAACGGATGCATGCAGCTGTCTCTGTAGAAGTAGCAGGAACAGGAGGTAGGCGAGCGAGATAGGGAAGAGGCAGGGCGTGGGGGGCTGCAGCGGGGGAGCATGGAAAAGCAAAAGCAGAAAGACAATCAGCACAAAGAGTTGGCGGTGAAGTTGTAGCGAGAGCAGCGGGAGCGGAGAAGTATCTCAACAAGACGTGCTCGCTTGCAGGGGAGGCACGGATGAAGTTGTGGAGGAGAGTGTCAGGCTAACACAAGGAGGGACAGCAGATGTGGAGGCTGGTAAAACAGCAGCGTGTATCGAGTCACCTTATAACGAAGCCACATGATGGCGGTGGTGCTGCTGATGGTGTGGGGCAGAGGGTGAGCAACGCAGTGGGTAGGTTGCACCGTGGCCCTGCAGGAGTAGGCACTGTCCAAAGGCTTCTGTGGGAGATCCAGGATGATTCTTATTCTCTAGCCCCTGAGGACGAGATGCCACGGGGGTTTGGATGCTCAAGACGTCACGAACATGGCAACTATGAGAGATCTAAGGTAATTCTACCTGCCCTCCTCCAACCCCCCATATCTTTTTGTCCCCAGTCCCGTCTTCTCTCCCCCCCTCCTCCCCTCCTCCGCCCCCCCCTCCTCTTGTCAACCCCTCCAACCTTCATCCCCTCACCCACTTCTTGTTTCTCACCCTGAACCGTTCCCTCATTCTGCCTGAATGCATCGCCTGAGCATTCGTGCTTCTCCATCCGTCTTCCCAAGCTTCATCCTTCCCACCAACCCTTCCTTCGCTCACCCCCCCTACACCAGAACCTAACAGTGTTACAAATGAGCCACCAGCTTTGGGAATGCAGCCCTGCTGCACTCCTGCTCCTCCTGTCCGGCACCCCTCCGAACCGGCCCTCCACCACGCCGTGGCTTTCAGGTACGTCTCACCCGGCACCTGCGCTCGCCCCCTAGTTTCAGCCGGACAGGGAGAGGTGTGGGGAGAAGAGAAATGGGTATGGGTGGGGCAGGAGGTGGGTGGCAGAGAGGGGGGAGATGGTGGTGTGGAACTTACGGTAACCCAGGCGGGGAGTTCTACAGCTGCATTATACGGATGATGCATCCTAGGCACGAGCATGGGCTAGGCCGCAGGCCGGTCAGGCCAAACTGTTTGAAAAGGCGGGTTGAGTAGGGCTGGCCCAGCCCGGCACTCCGAGCCGGAGGTGGCCCGAGTCGCAGTCCAGAGTAGGGCTGGTCCGGTCCAGGCCGAATACCGGCATGGGTCGGCCTGGTCAGTGATGCGCGTGACCTGAGGCGTACACGTCACCTTTGTGCGGCGACGGGGTTTTGGGTGGGCGCTACAAGGGGAAAGGGTTTGACAAGGGAGAAGTGCGGGCGCGAGCAGGGGTGTTTGTATGTGTAGTGTATGGGAGCAGGGGGGGATGTGGGTGCAGGCAGGGAGGCCTCGCGGACTAAGCTGAGATCGGCCCAACCCAGGCTGGCCCAACCTTGGCACACACCGGGCCAGATGCCCTAGCTTCATATACCGGCCCGCGTGCCGACTATCCAGCAAGCCGGCCCGGGTTGGGCAGGCCTGAGCCCAGCCCGCCCGTGAGGCCGGCCCATCCCGACCCGTGCTCATGCTCAGTACATCCACGTTTGCAGTGGCAATAGGCTGTTGCTGCGTTCACGGCCCTCCATCCCTCCATTGCTTGCCTTGCGCTCTTACCTCTTCCCTACCCCCATTGATCTACTTGTCAACGGGAGTTGTGTGTTGGCCCCGTCCACACTTGGGCGGAGCCGACTTCGTGGTGGGGTGTACGGAAGGTACAGCCGACTTGCAGCAGTGAGCGACGCCGACTTGGGCGTGCTGGTCGATGGGGTTGGTCGACTTGCACGGGGCCACTGCAATGCCGCCGACTTGGGAAGCCGGCGGCCGACTTCAACTGGTGGTCGGCGATGTGGCACGTCGACCTGGAAGTCGGCACCGACATGCAAGGTCACCGACTTGCCAGGTCACCGACTTGCAAGGTCATCGACTTGAAAGGTCGCCGACTTGGGAGGTCGCCGACCTGGAAGTCGGCGCCGACGTAGAAGGGGCGTCGACTTGGTGACACCGACTTTAAGTAGCCGACTTGGGTGGTCGGCTGACAACTGCGCTGGTCGACGTGGAGCTGGTCGACCAGGAGTGACGTCGACCTGGAGCTGGTCGACCAGAGGAGTGGTCGACCTGGTGAGGTCGACTTGGTGTGGTCGTCGACTTGGGAGGTCGACGAGCACATACAGGAGCAGCAGGTCGACATGGTTGCCCTGTCGACCAGGATACCTGGGTGACGAGGTTCTGCGAAAGAATGCGACGGTCACCCAGGAGAAGTTGGCGAGTCCGACCTCGGTGGTGGTATCCCGAGGTCGACGTGGCGGATCAGGAGGAGCCGTCAGCACGAAAATGACTTGGTGCGTGCGCTGTTCAGGTGACGAGGCTTAGCCCTCCAATCATCTACGAGCACCTGCGAAGTAGGTGCTCTGCTGTTCTACGGGAGCAACGCTAGCACGCTGTCAACCTGCAGCGTTGGCACGCTGTCGACTTTGCACTGCTGGAGCGCGGTCGACCAAGTCGTGCTGGAACGCGGTCGACCTTGCTGTGCTGGCAGTCGACCGACCTGAATGCTAGCTCTGATGTAGTCTTGCCATGCCAACTTCATTGTATCATTGTTGTCAACCTTTTCTTAGTGAAACTCTTGCCAAATTACCCCGTGAATGTGCAAGCAGGGAACACACTAGGAAAACGACTAACAGAGAACGCAGAGATCACACGAGCACCCGTGCCTAGCCCGTAGTCTAGCTCCCGTTGTAGTAGTTATCTCCGCATGGTGCGGTGAGCGTGGAACGAACACGACTTACCTTTCAGTCAGGTCGACGTAGTGGTCACAACCTACGTTGACGTAGGCCGGCAGCCGTACAGTCCCTGACGTGCGCGTAGGAGACACCAAGGTGATGGACACCCTAGAGGGACGGCTGGAGGATGCGAGGAGGCGTCATGCGGCTCAGGAGTATGGGGAGATACCCTGGGCGGTCGTCGAGGCTGGACTCCGCTCGCTGTGGGCGACGGAGCATCCCCCTTCCCGACCGACTTCTCCTCGACCGGTGACCAACGAAGGCGGGGTCGACGTGGGCATCAACGCCGGAGGTGGCCAAGTCGGCAGCACTGCGGGAGGCACGTCGAGGCAGAGAGGTGTGATTCATGCCGATGAAGTCGGCGGCGTTCAGGCGCGAGGGGTGCAGTCGTCGGCGGCTGCAGGGGCCTTGCAGGGCGACGTCGGAGGTCGACGAAGCGGATTGTCGCCGATGTCGGCGAGCCAAGTGACGGCGGCCGGGATAGCACCAAGCTACGGCTACTTCAAATTCGCGCCGGACAGGATCTTGGTCACCCCGCCGCTTGTCGGTCGACAAGACATCCTCACCTGGAAGGAGGCAATTGAGCCCCAGCTGGAGATGGCCGGGCTGATCAACTTCGCCCGAGGAGCCGTGGTGACGCCGGACGACCCCGACCTGCGTGCGGAGTTTCGCGCCGTGCAGCTGTTGACCTTCATGGTCATCTCGCGGTGCTGCTCGCCGGGCGTGCAGATCGCCTTGAAGTGGTGTCGGGAGTACCTCGACGCCGGCCACCAGGCGTGGCACTTCATTGAGTCGACCTACCAGGTCACCGACGACCTGTTCATCTCCCAGCTGGAGGGGCAGCTGACGCACCTGCGTATGGGCGACGAGGAGATGGCGACCGACTACTGCAACCGGGCAAGGCGGATTCTCGCCACCATCAGGATGGCCGGTGCACAGTACTCGACGGCGTCGTACGTCACCCACGTCATGCAGGGGTTGTCGAGCAACTACAACCTCCTGAAGAGGCTGTCGATGGCGCCGGGCACGAGGACGTCGCTCAACGAGGACAACCTGACCTCGTACATCCTGCAGAACGAGGCGATGCAGGAGGCCGAGCAGTCGCAGGAGCTCTTGGCGCAGGCCAACTTCGTCGCCCCGGCGAAGCAAAGAGGTCGACCGGGTCAGCGCGGACAGTCTGGTGGCGGCGGGAGTGGTGGCTGGAAGTCGACCAAGGAGGTCGACAAGAAGCCGACCAAGGATGGCGGTCGAGGAGGAGGAGGTCGACGTCGGGAGTGCTGGATCTGCCACAGCCCCGACCACCTCTCCTTCGAGTGTCCCGACCACAGTGACTCCGACGACGACGACAAGGGCGGCCGCGAGAGGTCGAGCAGTCGTCGTCCTCGTCGAGGAGGAAACCAGCCGCGCAAGGAGAAGCAGTCGACCAAGACGTCGGACGTGCTGCTGGAGTTCCAGAAGTGGCTGGTGTTGGTGGAGCGGCAGACGAAGAAGTCGGTGCTGCAGTTGCGCTCGGATCGAGGAGGGGAGTTCCTCGGGAAGAAGTTCACCGACTTCGTGGATGACAAGAGGATCGTCCACGACCTGACCTACCCGTACACCCCGCAACAGAACGGCATGGCGGAGAGGGAGATGCGGACGGTGGTGGAGTCGGTGCGGACGATGCTGCTGCACATGGGCGTGCAGCACCACTGGTGGCACCTCGCTCTGCGACAGGCCGTCTGGGTCCGCAACTGCCTTGTGCGGTCGACGCTACCGTCTGGGACGACACCATACCAGCTCCTGACCGGGCAGAGGCCCGACTTGTCGCTGGCGCGGGTGTGGGGCTGCATGGCGCAGTTCCTTGTCCCCGAGCAGTAGCGTGGTGGGAAGCTGAAGCCGAAGGCCAGGTGGGGCCTTCACCTTGGCGTTTCGGCGGCGAGCAAGGGCTGGGAGCTCCTCGACGTCGACGCCGACCGGGTGGCCACCACGTCGGACGTGATGTTCTACGAGGAGATGTTGCTGGCCGAGTGGAAGACGGCGCACGGGCCGGTGTCCGGCCGCTCGTCGTCCACCCCGCCCTCTGACACCTCGTCGGCGACGCTGCCACTGCTTGCCGAAGTCGGTGAGCTTGCTGCTGAGGACGTCGAGGACGTCCACCCCCCTACCCCTCCCCCTCCGACTCCTGCCCCTCCCCTTGTGGCCGACCTGCGTGGGCTGACCTCGGTGTCGGCCTCCGGCGATGAGGGGAGTAGTGGGATGTCGCCTTCGGCGCCGTCCAAGAGCATCGCCGGTGGCCGACGTGACGAGCGGCAGGTCGACATGGGATTGAAGCCGACGTCGACAGGGGAGGAGCAGGTTGAGGTGCAGCAGCCGACAGGGGAGCAGGCAGCCGTGAAGCCGACAACGGAGCAGTCGGCGACCGGGCAGTCGGCAGGAAAGCCGACCACAGGGGAGAGGTCGACCAGGGAGTCGACCGAGGTGCAGCAGGACGACGAGGGCAGCGACGACGGAGACGAAGGAGGGGCCGCTGGGGAGTCCACCACGAGTGACGTGGTGGAGGTTCGCCATGAACCCCGGAAGTCGGATCGAGTTCGGCGGCTGCCGGACCGCTTTGTTCCCGCTGCCTTCACCACGGTCTACGACGTCGACGATGACGACGACCTGCTGTACGACGACGCCGAGGACGATGAGGACTTTCCGGAGCTCGACCCGGACATGCTGGCCGACCCCGAACACCGTTGGGATATCTCGACGATGACGGTGAAGGAGGCGTTGGCGAGCTGGAAGGGCCCGGCGGTGAAGGCCGCCATGGAGGAGGAGATCCGCAGCCTCATTAGCATGGGGACTTGGGAGTTGGTCGAACGCCCGCCGGGAGTGAACGTCATGAAGAACTGGTGGGTGCTGACGACGAAGTACCACGTCGACGACACCGTCGAGCGCGAGAAGGCGAGGCTGGTCATGAAGGGCTTCACTCAGGTGTACGGTGCCGACTACGACGAGACGTTCGCGCCGGTGGGCAGCTACGTCACGCTGAGGATCTTCCTCAGCATCGTCGCCGTCCTCAACCTCAACCTAATGCAGCTCGACATGAAGAACGCCTT